GCCGTGGGTTCCCTCCCTGGGTTGGGAAGATCCCCTGGAGGAGGGCGTGGCAACCCACTCCAGTATTCTTGCCTGGAGAATCTCATGACGGGGGAGCCTCGTGGGCTACAGTCCACGGGGTCACAGAGAGCTGGACATGACTGAAGTGACCTGACATAGACGGGTGCGGGCTTTTTGTTCTAGTCAGCCCTCGACTGAGTGGCTGAGGCCCACCCACACTGGGGAGGGTAATTTCTTTTACTGGGCTACTGGTTTAAATGCTCATCTCATCCTCAAACACCCTTAGACACACCCAGAATAATGTCTGACCCAGTAGCTGGGCACCTCATGTCCCAGCCAGACCGCACGCCCCCAGCACACTTCTGTTTTTTAAAAGAACCGTGTCTGGATATCTCTGCATTTGCCGCATGCAAAGGGCTCCTGCCTGTCATCCCCTCTTATCTCCACTCTCTCTGCCTGGCTCAGGCTGCAGGGCGATTATCCGTCTTGTCTGTGAGGGATGACCCGTCCTCCCCCCATGGAGGAGGTGATTCTTCTCTTGCCAGGTCCCGGAGGCTGAAGCTTTCCAGAACTGCGCACACATGGTCAGCTCTTCCCTTCCCAGCCCAGGAGGGAGCCAGCCTCCTCTGTGGGCAGCTTTTGGGCTGACCCAGAGCTCTGAGACGCAGACACAGCACTTCTGAGGGACTGAGACATGATTCAAACAGCAGGAAACATCCACGTTTGGACTGGACCCCTGTGTCCTGACCCTGGCCCTCGGAGAGGCCCTAAACCGGCCCCTCTTCCGTTTAAGCCTCAGTTCACTCCGAGGGTTGTGGAGGCTCAGATGGTAAAGAATCTGCCTGCAGTGTGGGAGACTTGGGTTGGACCCCTGGGTGGGGAAGATCTCCTGGAGGAGGAAATGGCAACCCCCTAGAGGATTCTTGCCTGGAGAATCCCATGGATAGAGGAGCGTGGCAGGCTACAGTCCATGGGGTCACAAAGGGTCACGACTGAGCTATTAACACTTTCACTTCAACACTTCACTCCTCCGTAAAATGAGGGCACAGCACCTCATTAGATAACATCTAACGTTGGTGGGGAAATACTGTTATTTAGAAGCTAGGATAATCCAGAAAAGAACCGAGAATGACACAGTGAACACCGTATTCCTAGGGTCAGAATTAGGCATTGTTAACAGTTTGTGTGTTTGTCTACAGTTTGGCTTTTTCCCGTAAGGAGACGTTATGGGTAGAGCTGCAGCCCCCTTGCTGCCCTCCTAGTTTTCACCCCCACACAGTCCTCACTCCGAGTTTGGGTTCCAGGGGTCCCTTTCCCTTTCGAATCCCTGACCCTAACCCTAACCCTAACCGTAATCCCTGAGGGCACCTTCCAAAGTGCTTTTTCCACTGACTCACACTGGGACAGGGACACCCGACACCAGGCCCCTGCTGGGCTCTCTGCTCTTAAAGGCACAGCCGGAGGACAGGGGCCTCCAAGCATCCTCCAGGGAAACGGGGAGTAACCCTCTGCGGGGGACAGAAACACCCCTCCAGCCCGTCTTAATCCTAAGTGGTTGGGAAGAGCCCGCCAGCTTCAGGTGTGGGGCCCTAGCGCAGGGTGAGGGGGCGGTGGTGGGGGGTGCGCTTCCAGCCTCCCTGCTCTCTGTGAGGGTGGGCCGAGGCTCCCTTGCCCTGAGCTCCCCTATGCGGAGCCCCGTCTGCTGGCTGGACCCTGCTGCAGTCCTGGATGGGGTGGGGGGGTGGGGGTGTTGAGGCCAGTTTCACTGGCTGCTCTGTGTTATCTCAAGGCTGCACTTACTGCCCTTGTACCCATCCTAAGTGTGAAGAGGAGGGGCTCCTTTAAGAGCTGCTGGGAGCACTCAGCCCAGGCTGGGATTGGACGCCATCCCCAGGGCTCTCCTCCCCCTGAAGGCATGTCCTGGGGCCACTCACTGAGTCCGGAATGCAGGGGCCCCAGGTCATAAGGATGATTGGGATGTTTGGGGTGAAGTAATACATGTCATTAAAATTAAGATCAACCAGTGATCAAACTCTCACCCCCTGCAGTGGAAGTGCAGAGTCTTAACCACTGGGCCACCAGGGAAGTCCCTACTTATTGCTTTTAATAAGGCAACAAAGACATTGTAAATGTGATTTGCTGTGTATTTCTATTGGACAGGGCAGCTTCGGGCTGTCCATGTACCTAGCAGAGCCCCGCAGCCCTGGAGGCCCTGGATGAGGGGTGGGGTGCTCCTGGTCAGTCTTGGGGGCTGCAGGCATCTCAGGGGCCACCCATGGAGGGCCTGGGTGTGGGAGGAGGACTTCAGGCTTCTCGGACTTAAACGAGGGCAGTCTCCTCTTATCTGCATTGATTTCTTTACCGGGAGAGATTAATTCACTGCCCTGAGGGGGTGAGAAAAGAGCTTGTCATCCCTGTTCTTGAGGAGCCTGAGATTTGGGGTTGGGGAGGGATCTATAGCCTAGATTCCTGGCTCCCAGGGGCCATCGAGCAAGGTACACCACATTGTTTCTCAAAGTTAGAAGCAGAAGACGATGAACTGTCTTATTTTTTTTAAACAGACTCTTAAAAAGAACAGCTTTAGGTTTATTAAAAAAACTGAGCCCAAGTTACAGCAACTTCCTGCATATACCCCTCCCCCCACAGCATCTACACCATCAATATCCCCCACCAGATGGTGCATTTGTTTCGATTGATGAACCTGCACATATGTGTGTGTGTGTATGTGTGTGCGCGCGCACGCGTGCTCACTCCTGACTCTTTGCCACCCCATGAACTGCAGCCCACCAGGCTCCACTGCCCATGGAATTTCCCAGGCAAGATCCTGGAGTGGGTATCCATGCCCTCCTCCAGGGGATCTTCCCGACCCAGGGATCAAACCCAGGTCTCTTGCATTGCAAGCAGATTCTTTACCACTAGCACCACTTGGGAAGCTGTACCTACATGGACACCTTATTATAATAAAAGTCTGTGTAGTATGTTACTCTTCACAGTTGGCATTGATTCATTGTAGCCAGCCAAATGTGTCGTGACTTGTATCATTAGAGTATCATACAGAATAGTTTTACGGTCCTAAAAATTCTCTGTGCTCAGCCTATTCATCCCTCACTCCCCTTGTCATTGAAATTTTTTTAGAAATTTGAAACAATTTTAGATTTACAGGACAGTTGCAAAGATAATACAGAGAGTTCCTCTGTACCTTCACCCAGCTTCCCTGACAGTTACCATCCTTCAAGACCAGGAATGATGAGAAAAGGGAAACAGTAGCACTGGTACTTGAGTTAACTAAACTCTAGGTGGCTTGGGTTGCGTCAGGGTACCCACTGAGCTTCCTTCTTTGCCCCCGATCCAAGCCTGCGCCCGCCGTCACATTTGTCTCCTTGGTCTCTCAGATCTGATCTATGTGTGTTTTCTGTTCTTGTTTCCACGGCAGGTTTTTTTTTCCAAAGTGAAGTGTAGTTGATGTACAATGTTGTGTTAATTTCCACATCAGTTTTGTGTGTCTGTGTGTATGTGTGGGGAGGTCTGATGCCCTTGGAAATCATTTTGGAACAGCAGAGCCTCTGCATTCTGTGGTGTGGGGCGAGGCTGCGCCCGGGGCCTGCTCACTCCTCCCTGTCTGGGTTCGATCTGTGCTGTCTCCGTTGGTCTCTGAAATGCACTCCTCTCATGGGACGTCTCTTAGCGCGGGGACCACAGATGCATTTCCCTGGGGACTGAGACGTTCGTTTCCCTCAGCCCCACTGCGGTTCATTCTCAGAGTAGGGGCGTTGCTGCATCCCGCTGTGTGCTGGGTGTTCATGCTGTCTGAGCATCCGAGCTGAGCTTGGAGAGGCTTGCATCGACTTGAGACGTCTGTTGGGTGTATTTCACGCCATTGCCTTTTCACAGCAGACTGTACAAGTTTCCTTCTGAGTAACCCAGGACACTGAGGCTCCAGGCAGTGAAAGCCCAGGGTGGGGGCGGCAGCCTTGACTCGGGAGTACCCACTCCCTGCTGGGCACCACGCTGCACGCAGCCCTGGCGACCACGGGTGTCCTTCCCTGGGGCCTCCCCGCCTGGAGCACTCCGATGGCAGCCCTGACTGCTCTGAAAAGTGGGAATCAGATTAGAATGTTCACCTGCTCAGGATGGCCCAGGGCCTGGTCATCATCCTCTGAATAAATCTTAGCTCCTTCCTGTGGCCTCCAATGCCTGCTTGCCCTCTGCACCCCGTGTCCCTGAGCTCAGCACCTCATCTCCTTGACCTCAGCACCCCCATCTTCCTCACATCAGCACCGTGACCTCAGCATCGATCTCCTCAACCTCGCGAGTGGCCCGTGCTCACCCGGCACTGCAGTGTCCACTCTGCTCCTTCCCACTCTCCACATCTCACTCCCCTGGAAACTGCTGTTACCCCAGGTCTCAGATGAGAAACCTCACGCTAACCCCGGGCGCCTGCTCGTCACGCTGTCCCTTCGGCCGGTTACTCCAAGGCCCAAGTCTCCGTGGGAAGTCACGGATTCTGCAGATCTGTCCGTTTGAATGTTTTCCTGCCCTTCTTCCCGCCTTCACGTAACCTTGGCCCTGAGTGTGCTGGGCTGTTGTGCCTGGTCTCATGGTTCCCTTTGGCGGGCTCTGGGTTTGCAGAGCTTGTTGGGGATGGAAGTGACCATCTGGGAAGCTGCCGTGAGCCCGGCCCAGCCTAGAGATCAGCGGGTACCTGGCCTGTCCCCGTCCCTGGGGACTGTAGGCACTTTCCCCACTGATAGTTATTTCCAGTTCCAGGGAATTATCCTGTCAGGACTGCTGAACGTAGGGGTGTTTCCAAGTGTCCCGGCTCCTGTGGGATGAGCTCGGGGTGGGCGGAGCCTGTTCCCAGCAGAGGGGCTAGGCTGCCCAGCTTGCCCCAAGTCTGAAGCTGGCTGAAGCTGGCGGAGCTGTGAGTCTGGGGCAGCTTCGGGTCGCAGCCCTGCCTCTCCAGCGGCTCCAGGGAGTGCACTCTCATCTTTCTGCTGCAGGTCGTCGACCCGGCCGGAGGTGGCCAGTATCGAGCCGCTGGGCCTGGACGAGCAGCAATGCTCCCGGAGGGCGGTGGTGCAGGCGCGCCTGTCCCAGCCCGCCCGCCTGACCAGCATCATCTTCGCAGAGGACATCAGTAAGGGCTTCCGGGCCCCGTGTGGCCCTGGCGGGGATGGGGGAGGCGGGGACACCCTACTGAGACCTCGGGCCACTGGGGTTGCGGAGCCCGTGGTCGGGCACACTTTCTCTTCTCTTGTTGGGTCACAGGATGCCTGCAGAGTGGGTGGGAGGGTCACCAAGCAAGCAGCACCCAGCCCAGTCCCTCCTGCCAGCGCCGTGTTCTTCTTTCCCTACCATGGAGGGGGGCTTCCATTTCTAAGTTGTTATTTGTTACCAAAATAACCCTTAATGGACGTTGATTCAAAATGAAGAGATCTGTGCAAGGTTCACTTCCCCATGTTTACTATACCATATTATGGTCATAAGGGGCTTCCCAGGTGGCACTAGTGGTAAAGAATCTGCCCTCCACTGCAGGAGATGTGAGTGCGCTCCCTGGGTTGGGAAGATCCTCTGGAGAAGGAAATGGCAACCCACTCCAGGATTCTGGCCTGGAGAATCCCATGGACAGAGGAGCCTGGCGGGCTACAGTCCATGGGGTCACACAGACTGCTCAGAAAACAACGAATTTTCCATTGCGCTCCCCCCCCACCTAAGATGGCATGAAAAATTTCCCATTTTATTGTAGGATTATTTTTAATGGCTGAGTAACTAGCATTCCCCATACTGGATATTCAGATTGTTTTCCAATGTCTGTTTCAGTGTTATATAAGAAAATCATGTTACACAAGAGAACAATTTTGGGTTCTTCCAGGTTATTTCCCGCCAAGGATTGAGTCCCAGCTTTACTGGGTCACAGCCTATGTAAATATTTTTAAGACTTTTGATAATGAGGCTGGATGACTTTCTCAGAGAGTTAAGCATGTACAAGTAGTTTTATATGATGCCTGGAGAACAGTCAGAACGATTTTTTATCACAAGCTGTTATTTTTTTACCCTAGAGGATTCTCCGGGTAATGCCATTTATGTATCTTATTGACGGAGCAAGTAAAAAAAATCTGTGTGGATGTCCACACACTCTTTTATACTAGAGTGAGAAGGACATGGCGAACCCATGCCAGTATTCTTGCCTGAAGAATCCCATGGACAGAGGAGTCTGGTGGGCTACAGTCCATGGGGTCCCAAAGAGTCGGACACGACTGAAGTGACTTAGCACGTAGTTGACAGTGTTACGCAGCAATGGTGTAAACACACGCGATGCACAAGCTCTGGGTGTAGTTCCTGATCTCAGGGCAGGGACAGGCAGTCAAGGTGCTAACTTGTCATACCAGAGCCCTTGTAGGGGAGCTCAGTGGTCACAGCCTGAGCAAAACCAGGAAGTCTAGGAACTGTTTTGCCACGGTGTTAAAAGATCATGTGTTTGCTCGTTTATTCTGGGCTGTGCTGGGCCTTGGTGGCGGCGCGGGCCTTTTCTCTGGCTGCTCTGCTCCCAGCGTCTCAGTGCAGTGGCTTCTCCACAGTGGAGCAGGGCTCCAGGGCGCGTGAGCTCAGCACCTGTGGCTCCTGGGATCTTCCCGGACCAGGGATCGAACTCATGTCTCCTGCGTTGGCAGGCGGATTCTTGACCACTGAGCCGCCGGGGAAGCCCCTTGCCGCAGCTTTAAATGCTGGTGTCCAGGGTGGAAAAGTACAAGACAGACGACCAACGTGCCCGCAGAGCCCTTACTTCCTGGGTGTCTGCGCTGACTCTCAGGCCCAGTGAGGCTCCAAAGGGTGACTTGGTTCTTACAGCTTGCTTTTTGGGGGCCGTTGGTCACCCCCAGTCTTTGCCAAAGCCTGACACCGCCCACCCTGCGAGGCGCTGGAGGGGGTGTGGGCCCCCCACCAGCTGACAGTGCCCTCCCGCCTGCAGCCACCGGCCAGGTCCTGCGTTGCGATGCCATCGTGGACCTCATCCATGGCATTCAGATCGTCTCCACCACCCGTGAGCTCTACCTGGAGGACGCCCCACTGGAGCTGAAGATCCAGGCCCTGGACTCGGAAGGTGAGGCCCCCAGGCTGTCCGCCCTCCGCTTGCCCGCCGCCCGCTCTCCCCCTGGGGGTGCTGCTCTGGCCAGAAGGGTGACGCGCCGCAGGTTGGGACCACCTCTTAATGGACACCGGGCCCCTGTGAGCAGCAAGGCCACGGCCACGACTCCACAGGGCCTGGCCCTGTGCCTGGAGGGACCCCGGGGGTACAGCGTGTCTTTGGGAAGCCAGCAGCATCGTCTGGGCAGCGGTGGGAGCTGAGAGCGGCTCGCAGGGTCAGCGCCATGACCAGCAGAGGCCTGGGGGACTGGGCTTGGCTTCCTGGTCCAGAGTGCTGACTGCGTGTGTGTGTGCACGCGTGTGTGGGCACGCGTGCGTGTGTGTGCACATGTGTGGGCACGTGCGTGTGTGTGTGTGCACGCGCGTGTGGGCACGTGCGTGTGTGTGTGTTGTGGATGGTGCGTCTATGCTGTTAGTCCCAGAATAGACTAACACCGTCTATGATGCACCGTCTATGATGCACCGTCTTTCCATTTGTAATAGAGCGTTGACTCATTTGGGCTGGGATTCTTCTCACAACGTCTGTTTTGCTGGGTGGCAGGCTGCCCAGGCTGTAGCCCGACCTCTTCGCCAGGGAACAAAGGGAGTATCTGTAGGTGGAGGTTTTGTGAAGGAAGTAGGTCAGGCTCAAAGACATCTTTTCAACAAAGGAGCTTCTAAAACTTGCAGTCCAAGTCAAGTCTCACCTTGACTTTGAAATCTCCCCTGATTGCTCTAGCCCCTGCTTTTAGAAACACTTTTCCAGATCGGGGTTTCTCAGGCTCATGGGGTTGACATTTGGGGCGGATAAGCCTTTGCAGTGGGGGCTGCCCAGGACACGCACGGCAGGCTGGTCAGCAGTGTCCGTGGTCTCTGCCCTGGATGCCAGGGGCACCCCCTGAGCTGTGACAACCAAGACTCTCTCCCAGCCATCACCAAATGTCCTTTGGGGTCAGAGTCCTGTTTTGGAGTGTCTCCCAGCCATCTTTCCTCTCTGCATCATTCATCTGGTGAGCTGCCCAGCTTCTCTGAACTGCCCTCTGATCGGCAAGACTGACATAGGGATGCTCAGCTCATTGTGAGGACCAACCTGGTGAGCGGACGTGAAGGGTCCCGCCCCGCCTGGCGTGCGGTGGGTGCTCAGCCTGCTAGGTGCCAGTGGAGTGGGTTCTGCCTCCAGAGTTCTGCCAGATACTGGGGTGCACCCGGGCTGGGGGGGCACCTCAGGCTGGGGGTCCACATGTAGGTCAGGCTGCATGTGCACCCCAGCACACGCTGTCTGTAATCACACGGGGGGCGAAGTGTGACAGGACAGGATGGGGGAGCAACCCCAGCGGGCTCAGAGGTAGGGCGTGGAGATCACACAGGTCAGGACAGTTTCTTAGAAGCTGCGATGCTTGAGCCTCAAAAGGTGAAGGCTCTGCCAGGCGGGGACCCTGTTTCATCCTTGAGACTGAAATTGGAGAGGCCACACTGCCGTCTCCTGCTACTGAGTTTTTTCTGGGCGCTGGGTTCTGCCCCAGGGTCTGGGGTCTGTTTTTTTGGCCTGAGGCCATCTGCAGGGTGCCTGTTTGGGTTCATGATTTTCTGATCTTTCCCAGCCTGCATGTACCTGGTGCCTGGGCAGCGCTGGGCAGCTCTGGTCCCTCAGATGCTCCCACTCCCATCCTGACACCCAGGTTCTGCTCAGAGCACCTGCCACCCGCTTCTGGATCTCTGCTCTCAGAGTCCCAGCCCCTCTGGTCACAGCCCCCACACCCCTGCCTTCCTGTGATATCCTGTCCTCCTGGGCTCCTGGGGTGGGGTGAGTCCCTTCCCTGTGAAACCCCCCAGCGCTTCCCGGCCCGGCCTTGCGGTGCAGGCAGTTTCACTCTGCCTCCGGGCAGGGTCCCGATCACTCCATTCCCTGTTTGACGTTGGACTTTGGTCCAGCAAATGTTTGTTAGTGTTTGCTTACTGTTTTCCAGCTGCTTCCTGAGACCAGGGCCAGGGGCGGTGGGGTGGTGCCAGCTCCAGAGACCGGGTCCTGGCATTTCTTCATTACTGTGAGCACTTGGCACACAGTAGGGCTAATAGATACTTTTGAAACAGACAAGCCCCCAAGCCTGCAAGCTCCTGCTGACCGTGGGGTCCTGCAGCCTCTGTTGCTGGGAGGCGCCCTTGCTCACTGTCCCCTCTGAGAAGTCGCGCTGAGACCGTTTGCTGTCTCATGTGGCTTCATCCCGTCTCCCAGACGTCAAGGCCAGCTTCACACAGGCCGTGTGTACCACAGGGCCCCGGGCCTGATTTAACGCCTCACTGTTGCTGTCTTGAGATTTTAACGCGTTTCTTTTCGTTCTTGTGTGTTGTGAGAGGGGTCCGGTGGGACGTGGAGCCTCGGGACTTGCGATCCTGCTTCCCTGACCCCTCCCGGCCCCTGGGGTTCTCTGCCACCTGCGCCCCGTCCCCTGGTGTCCTGGGTCCTGCCGGGCCTCTCCCTCGTGGCCCTTGCCCCATAACGATGGCTGCCTTCCATCCCCCTGGGCTGGGCGCGTGCACGCCGCCGCGTGTCGGGTGGAGCACAGCCAAGGCCTTTCCTGTCCCAGGACCGCCCGGTCCAGCGGCTGCGTTTTGGCTAGAGTGAGCCTCTCTGAGGGCCTTACCCGGCTTCCAGGCACCTCTCGGCACAGGCTTCAGAGGTTTAGCCTGAGGGTCAGGGGGCCGGGAAGGAGAGACACTGACCCCATTTCCCCGGGGCCTGCTCAGCGGGGACGCAGCATGTTGGTTCAGCAGCTGGTGGGGGGACCCCGGTAGCTGGCATGTCTGTGTGTAACCTGAGTTGCAGGGCAGGGACTCTGGGTGCCTCTGAGAGTCTGCACTCATTTTGGGGTATCTGTGCCCTTCGGGGGAGTGCCCCTTCATCTGGCCCTGTGTCTGGGGCGGTCTCTGCCTCCTTCCAACCTCCCCAAGCCTGACTTGCCTCCTGGTGCCTTCCCTTTGGGATGAAGACCCTGAGCGGATCAGGGCCTGCAAACCAGGTGCTGACCCTGCATGTGCACCGCCCCCACGTGGGCGAAGCTTCCGGAAGCCCACAGACGCTTTCTGCTCTAGGAACGGTCCCACAGTCATCTCTCCCTTACAACTGAACTTGCAGGCGGGCAGGGACTTTGATGCTGAAAACCAGAGCTCCAAGCGTAGCCACTGAAATGGATGAAGACGGGGACTTCCTGTCGCCAAATTCCAGGTTAAGAGACCCTAGGAGCCTCCCCCAGCCTCTGTCTCCTTGTCCTCAGACGGCCGTGGTGAACTGGCTGACACCTTTCAGGCCCCTCGCTGGGAGCACTGTCTCCTCAACAGCCCTAGACCTCAGAGGTGGGCTGGGGCAGATTCTCAGGCCTGTCTGACTCTAATAGCCTTGGTCTTCACACCGTAGAAAGAGGTTTTTGAGGCCCCAGAGGCTCTGTTTTGGGGACTGGCCGGGTGGGAAATATCCAAAGATGATTGAGGTGGAGCGGGAGAGGCGCTAAGGTATGGTGGGGAGTGTGGCAAGCCAGCTGAAGAGGCTGGGCCAGCCGCGGGTCACTAGAGGAAGAAGGGCCCAGACCACTGGATCTTTGGACCTGTGAACTTGGGAGTTGGATACATACATTGCGTTTCTTTATTTGAAATGATGGGGACCAGTGGAAAGGGGCAAGATCAAAATCACCTGGGGAAAAGGCAACCATAGCTCCGGGCAGGTCAGGCCTCTGAGCCCCCGTTTTCATCTCCCACCCTGCTTCTGAGCACTGCCCTTACCCTGAGAAGGTGTTTACCGAGGGTTTCAGGCCCTGCCTGGGTCCTGCTCCTCCAGAAAGCATCACCCAGTCACGTGCTGGGCTCCACCTGTTCTCACGTCTGGTCCAAGGCGTGCCGATGGCCGTCAGGACTTTAGAGCGGAGGCCAGCTGTGCGCGGCCCATCTCCTCCACCCAGGACCCGGGGCCTCGGCATCGGGGAGGAGACAGGATGGGTGATGCTAGATGGCTGGGGTTCCTCTCCCAGCACGGGGAGGGGGTGGGGGCCTGGACTCACAGTCTCAGGAGCTGCTGTCTAGACTGTAAAGCGCTTACCCACTCGAAGGGTGATGGGTGCACAGGTGGGACAGGCTGCAGGAAGGACACAGTGCGTCCCTGGGAGACCTGGGCTCAGGGTGGGTAGCCCCACTAGATCACGTGACCCTGATCCCTTACGCCTCGGTTTCCCCTCCAGAAGGGAGGCTGGAGAGGGTGCCCCTTCCCCCGTGGGGTGTGGTGCCGAGTCCACCGCCCCTCCCCTTGCCCCTGGGGGGTTAACTCGTGTGCACCCCCCCCACCCTGCTCCGCTCCTGCAGGAAACACGTTCAGCACCCTGGCCGGGCTGGTCTTTGACTGGACGATCGTGAAGGACATGGAGGCGGACGGCTACTCAGACACCCACAACGCGCTCCGGTAAGAGGCGCCTGCCTTTGAAGGGAGGCGGGAGGGAGGGTGGGTTGGGGGCTTTCACCCTCATTGTCACTGTTAGCACCCCCGTCAGTGAGGAGCCCAGGATGGTCCCCAGGCTGCCCTGGGGCTGATCAAAGTGTTCAGCTTGCACAGCCATGCAGGGGCCTTGTCCCGGGGTGTGTTCCGGGGGCCGCTGTCGAGGGCGCTGGGCTGTCCAGCTGCGGCAGAGAAAGCTCATCCTGATAAACGGAGCTTTCACGGGGTGCCGGGGAGGGGAGGGGAGGGGCCCCAGGGTGGGGTGAGTGGGTAACGGTTCCGGTTGGGAGGTCCCTCCAGCAGTGACAGCCTCCAGGCATGGGAGGCTGCCTGTCCCAGCGCCGGGCGGGGGAGGAGGCGGGGGGTCAGTACTGCAGACAGACGGACGCCTTGTGAGATGGACTCGCTCTCCGTCTTGACTTGGCCAGTCCTCCGACAGCATGTGGCTTATGTTCCCCTGTCTGCTCGCCTCAGATTGGTAAGGGCTGGAGCTGGACTTGAACTGTTCTGGTCTGTGTGAATCCTCACCGTGCCGCATGGCGGCCACTGGCCCCACACTGGCCGTTCACACTTACACCAGGGAAGATGGGGGATTCCGGTCCCTGATGCACTGACCCCATCAGGTGCTCGTTAGCTATGTGGCCAGTGTTACCCACACTGGACAGGGCAGACAGAGCGTTTCCATCGGCGGAAGGTTCTGCTGGCCGGCACTAGTGCGCTTCCAGAGTCCAGGCTAATATCCCCTGATAGGAGGTGGCTCAGTGGTAAAGAACCTGCCTGCCAACGCAGGAGACGCATAGACGTGGGTTCAATCCCTGGGTCGGGAAGCTCCCCTGGAGGAGGAAATGGCAACCTACTCCACTAGTCTCACCTCGGAAATCCCATAGCCAGAGGAGCCTGGAGGGCTGCAGTCCATGGGGTCACAAAGAGTTGGACACGGCTAAGCGACTAAACAACAACAACAAAATGCTGCATTGCGTTGTGCTGTATTAAATACAATTTTGGGGGGAGGAAGACTTACTTTTTAAAGATTTGCACCAATTTTCAGCCTACAGAAAAGTTGCAAGTACAATACAGGAAGTGGATTCCCTGAACCATTTGAGGGCAAGCAGTCAGTTTAGTGGCTGTGACCCCCAATTATTTTAGCGTGCATTTACCACCTCTTAGGACATTTTCCTGCGTATCGACGAGACAGTCATCATAGTTAGGGAATTAACACTGATGCCTGCAATCACCAGACCTCGTTTAAGTTTTGCCAATTTACCCCATTTGTAGCAAAACACGCAGCCCAGAGCCCTGCCTCAAGTTGTCCTGTCTCTCCTTGTCTCCGTCAACCTGGAGACTTGGTCCAGTCTCTTGGTCCTTCTTTGACTCCCAAGATGTGGGACTCGTGAAGATTGTAGTCTAGATATTTTATAGAATTTCCCCCATTCCTGGAGAAGGAAATGGTAACCCACTCCAGTATTCTTGCCTGGAGAATCCCATGGACGGAGGAGCCTGGTGGGCTACAGTCTATGGGGTCGCAAAGAGTCGGACACAACTGAGCGACTTTACTCACTCACTTACTCCCCCAGTCCAGGTTTATCTGACGTTCCTTCTGATTAGACCCAGAGCTCTGCATCTTTGTAGGAACATCACCAGAGGCTAGATTCCGCATTCTCACTGCCTCTTATCATAAAGCTGCACTGACTTTGTTCTCTGTCATCTCTCGGGGAGGGTGGTGTCTGCCAGGTGCCCCACTCTGAAGTTGCTTTCTACCCCCTTGCAATTGATAACATTTTTAATGGGGAGTTATGAGTCTGACCTCTTATTTACACTTTCAAAAGTCCAGCTCAGGGCTCTAGGAAGCACTGGGGCTCAGCTCACGGCCATTTCCACAGTGGACACCCTCACACCCTGGCACCCATGTAAGCCAGTTGCCCTCCTGGCTCAGAGCTCTTTGGGGGCTGGGCCATCAGCCTCCATCTCCTGAATGAGCTCTGGAACTCCCGTTGTCTTGTAAGCCCAGAGTGCGGGCTGTGGGTCAGAGAGACCTGGCGCCCAGTCCTGGCCTTGTCGTGTCCTGCTTGTGGCCGTTGCCAAGGACTGTGACCACCTAAGCACCAGCGTCCTCCAGCAGATGGAGGCGTCACCGTGCCCACCTCCAGGGGTGCCGGGTGGGGAGCACGTTGACGGGGTGAGAGCCTGTCTCCAGGCCCTGCACACACTAGGTGTTCAGGAATTCTGGCTGCCTGCCCCCCTCCACTAGCCCTGCTTCCTGCTCTGACAGCGACCTCGAGCTTCCAAGCACTGGACGTGAGCCGAGTGCTGACCCAAGAGTGCTAAGAGTGCTGGAACCAGAGTGTCCTGGACTTTTATTCAACTCAGCATGCGATTATTTACAATAGCTAGGGTACAGAAGCATCCTAGATGTTCATCGACAGAGGAATGGATAAGGAAGTTGTGGTACATACACACGAGGGAATATTACTCAGCTGTAGAAAGAAACGCACTTGAGTCAGTTCTAATGAGGTGGATGAACCTAGAGCCTACTATACAGAGTGAAGTAAGTCAGAAAGAGAAAGACAAATATCTGTTAACGCATATATATGGAATCTAGAAAGATGCAGGGCAGGGCAGAAAAGGAGACAAACATAAAGGACAGGCTTGTGGGCACGGGGGAGAAGAGGAGGGTGGGATGATTTGAGAGAATAGCACTGAAACATGCACAGATGTATCTGGTGGCTCAGCGGTAAAGAATCTGCCTGCAATGCAGGAGACCCGGGTTCCATCCCTGGGTTGGGAAGATCCCCTGGATGAGGACACGGCAATCCACTCCAGTTTTCTTTGGCTTCCCAGGTGGCGCTAGAGGCAAAGAACCCACCTGCCAGTGCAGGAGATGTAAGAGACATGGGTTCCATCCCTGAGTGGGGAAGATCCCCTGGAGAAGGAGATGAAAACCCCATTCCAGTATTCTTGCCTGGAGAATCCCATGAACAGAGGCACCTGGTGGGCTACAGTCCATAGAGTCACAGAGAGTCACAGAAACGACACTACTGAAGTGACTTAGCATGTACATTACCATGTGTGTAATAGATAGGCACTGGGAGTATGATGTAAGATGCAGGGAACCCAAACCTGGTGTTCTGTGACAACGTAGAGGGGTGTGGTGGGGAGGGAGACAGGAGGGGGGTTCATGAAGGAGGGGGCATATGTATAGCTACTGCTGATTCATGTGGATGTATGGCGAAAACCATCACAATGTTGTTAAGTAATTATCCTCTAAAAAATAAAAAATGATACATAAAAAAAGAACCAAAGCTTTTCTGTATGCAAAGAAAAAAATTTCAGTATGCAGTACCTCGTGAAATGACGAGGAAATGAATCACCGCAGTGCTCAGCAGATCTTGGGGAGAATGAACATGTCTGACTGCTCTCCTTCGGGCAGAATGGGGGGCTTATTTATAGATTTCAGGCTGTCAGGAAAGACTCAGGCTGGCCCTGCTCAGCAGCCTGCTCTCTGGGGGTCCCACCCCATTCTGAATTCTCCCTCCATTCTTCCCACAGCCTAACCGTAGGATTAGGGTAGGATGCAATGTGATCCCTTGTTCCTGACACTTGAGGGGTCATCACTGAACCATTTCCCAGATGCAGGAGCTGGCCAGGGAGAGGAGACGGGCTAGTGGGGAGCCCTGGCTGGGCCTCTGGTCCTGGGGCTTACCTTTCACACCCGTGAGACCAAAGCTTTTCATAAAGTTGACCGAGTGAGTAAAAGTCGCTCAGTCGTGTCCAACTCTTTGCAGCTCCATGGACTGTAGCCCGCCAGGCTCCTCTGTCCATGGGATTCTCCAGGCAAGAACACTGGGCGGGGGGTGGGGGGGGTTTGCCATCTCCTCCTCCAGGGGATCTTCCCGACCCAGGGGTCAAACCCAGGTCTCCTGCATTGCAGGAAGTTTCTTTACCATGGGAGCCGCCAGGGAAGCCCTCAGCTAAGTGGGCAGTCCTCAAATTTCAGTGCCACCTTTGACCACAGTCACAGCTGGAGGTTTATAAAATGCAGGTTCCCAGGCTCCGTGCAGACCAAGGGCCAGGCCAGGGCCTGAAAGCCTGGGTGTTTCCGGGGGCGCTGGAAGTTCTGAGGCAGGACGTTCTGGGGACGGTTTTCTAGGCAACACCCACTGGGTCATTTCTGTGGTCATTTCCCTTTTCCAGCATCCTGACATTCCTGGAGTCCACCTACATCCCCCCGTCGTACATCTCAGAGATGGAGAAGGCGGCCAAGCAGGGTGACACCGTCCTGGTGTCCGGGCTGAAGACAGGCAGCTCCAAGCTCAAGGCGCGCATTCAGGAGGCCGTGTACAAGGTGGGCGCAGGCGGGCCCTGGGCTCTGGGGCGGGATCTGGACGCACGGGCCCCCGGCGCGTCTACTAGTGGAGAGGAGGTGCCGTGCAGGGGCCAGGGTCTGCTGTGAGCCATGCTTGGGAGCAGGTGGCCGGGGAGCCGGCGCCGCCAGCACTGCACTCCCAAGGCGGTTCCTCCGCTTCACCCTGGGCCCCGGCCTTGAGCCCCCAAGGCCCCAACCACTGGCTGCTTTCCAGAAAGATAAGCTCCGGGGTGCGCTGCCTCCTGCTGTGCGCTGGGGGTGGTAGTGGTAGCTGGTTAAGAACTTTCTCAGCTGGTTCTGGTCCTCTAGAACCCGAGGGCCCGTGTCTGGCACCAGAGCCAGGTGTGGAGACGTGTCGTCTGGTAGCAGCTACCAAAGTCAGGGCCCCGGAGATAGGTGCTCCTTCCTTTCTGTAAGAGCAGGTGGGCTCGACTGAGGCTGGGGTGTGCCGCCCCCACCCCCGCTCCTCCAGAGCTCTCTGGGGGCCCTTCTGGGCAGGCTGACTGGCCTCTGACTGTGCAGTGCCCTGGGGTGGGGTCCTGCCAGGAACGGTCTCTCCAACAGTAACAGTCCTGTGGGACCCAGGAGCTCAGCACCCCCACTTCAGCACCAGCATGCAGTGATCTGGTGTGTTTCCTGGGTGGTAGCTACAAAGCCAGGTGGAGACATGAGAACTGGGGCGCTGGGGGTGGGGTGGGGGCGGGTCTGAGCTCCGGGGCATGGCCGAGCGAGGGCCCGCTGGCGGGAACGAGTTCAGTGGACGATGCGTCTCTGTCCCGTCGCATCTGGGCATCCTCTTCCTTCTTCTTCTTTCCTTCCTTGCTTTCTGCTATTTTGCTCCCACCACATGGCTTGCGGGATCTTAGTTTCCTAACCAGGGATTGAACCAAAGTGAAGCCAAAGTGCTGAGTCCTAACCCACGGGACCGCCAGAGAATTCCCTGGGCACTTTCCATGGGCTGCCCCTGCTCTGGGCCCCGGCGGATGTTTCTGCACAGCCAGGCCCTTCAGGGACGTCCGTCAGTCCCCACGGCCCCTCTGGTCTTTTTTTCCATAACTACGTGTGTGATTTCTGGCTGTGCTGCTCTCACTGCTGTGCGGGATTTTCTCTAGCTGCAGAGATCGGGGGCTACTGTCTGGTCTTTAAGACCAGATGTTTTGGGGGCTCATCTCTCAGGTGCTGGTCTTAAAAGGCGGGGGCCTGATGTGACATACGAACCCTTCCCTCCTCAGGGAGAAGTCCCGGGTTTGGGTTCCCCGTGAATGTGGTCTCTGCAAGGGGTGAGGTTTATGATGAGATTGTCCTGAGGGGTGAGGTTTATGATGAGACTGTCCCTGGATCCTAGTCGCTTTGATGTGGTTTCCCTGCTATTTGTCCCATGTGAAGGGGTTGCTCTGCCAGCTTTTTGGGGTTTTTTTAAGAGGAAATTGTTGCATATGTAGCTGTAGACACAGCGTTTCCGTGGGAGGTGGTGAGCGCAGGGTCTTCCTGTGTCATCACCTGGAATGGGAACCTTAACTTCCTATTCAGTGAGGACACCTGTAATACGTCAGAGCTGGTTCAGTGGAAAATCCGAAGAGATCTACAGGCAGGTGCAGACCTGGCCCACATCCAGGGGTGACCACCGCTCGTTCCCCAGGGAACACGTCTGCATTTCTGTGGGCAAGGACCCTTTGCTTTGCCCTCCATTTTCCCCAACTCGCGGGGCGATGGACAGCTCCAGGACAGTGGACGGTGCAGGCCCCATGGAGTCTGATCGCCTGGGGGCGCCCCGGGCTCCACATGGGTGGTCTGCCCCCAAGTCCAGCCTGTCATGATGCTTCCCGAGGAGGGAGTCTGGGTGAGGATGAGGGGTGGGCTGGCGGGGGTGGCCTGAACGGGGGGCGCTTGTCAGAGCGCAGCTGTTCCTCCTCAGGCTTGCCTGCGGGCGCCCCACCTCCCCGGCCTCTGGGGCTCTTGGTGGAGCCCCCGAGCCCCTGTCTCCGTAGCCGTCACTCCTGGCACCTCATTCTTCCATGTACTTCTTACTGTTTAAGACTGACCTGCAGGCTGCACACTGTGAAGTGCCGTGCTCGCTGTATTTTGGCAGTGACCTCTGAACGCCTGCTCCTCCGCCACAGGGCTCCCCTGGGGCCTGGGGCGTCCCGAGGTGTTGCCCTGGGTTCTCAGCCTCCCCTGCCTTCAGTGAACAGACTGAAGAGCCCTAGAGGTTCTGTCTGTTGCCCACACCGACCCCCACTCGGGCTCACCTCCCCTTCTCTCTCTTCCTCACGCTAGAACGTCCACCCTGCGGAGGTCAGGCTGCTGATCTTGGAGAACATCCTTCTGAACCCGGCTTACGACATCTACCTCTTGGTGGGGACATCCATCCGCTACAGGGTGCAGAAGATCAGGCAAGGGAAAATTACAGGTGGGTCCCCTGCTCAGCGCCGCACTCAGACAGCCTTTTCATCGTGGTGAGATAGACGTGACGTGAACTTGCTGTTTTAACTATTTTTTAAGGGTGCATTTTAGTGATGTTGATTACATTTATCAACACATTGTTGTATAGCCATCGCCACCATCATCTCCAGAACTTCCTCGTCTTCCCAAACTGAAGCTCTGAGCCCGTTAAGCACTAACTCCCTAGCCCCCTTCTCCAGCCCCTGACAAGCGCCCTTGTACTCTCTGTCGCTATGAATCTGGGTGCTCTCGGGACCTCACGTAAGTGGAGTCATGAAGCGTCTGTCCTTTAGTGGCCAGCTTGCCTCACCGAGCGTCCTCCAGGCCCATCCGCATTGCAGCAGGTGTCACATGTCCCTCCTTCTCAAGGCTGAGTCCTCGTCTACTGTCTGTGTGGACCACATTTTGGACAGTCATCCTTTGATGGACACTTGGTTTCTTCTGCCTCTTGGCCGTTATAAATAGTGCCTCTGTGAGCAGAGGTGAACAAACTTCTTGAGGTCCTGCTTTCGATCCTTGGGGGTTTATATCCCTTTGTTTGAAGAATGTCAGAAGCCACGAGCTTCTGGGCATGGACGTCTGGGCGGCCTGGACGAGGCACTGCCCCGCTTTAGGGCTCAGTGTCTCTGCCGGAGCCCTCGTGGCCTTTCTGCTTGTGTCGAGGGCATGATGGATGAATGCATGTGGATTTGTTTCGGAAATGCTAAAGCGCTGTGTACGTGTGATGCATTCTTGGTGGTGAGTGTTCTTAATGCATCACCAAGCCTGCCAAGAATCATTATCACCATCGTCATCATTTTGTTTAGCTTACACACGTTCCGTGGTCGGAGCCCAGGGCGTCCAGGCTCGTGGGTACGAGAGTCCCATTCAAGGCCTGTGGGCTGCGAGGCATGTCGGGCAGGCCCCTCCCCCGGTTGCTGGCGTCCTGTCTGTGAGGCAGGGCAGCAGGTAAGAAGCCTGTAGCTGCTCCAGCGTCGGAGCAGCCTGGGTCTGTTCCACAGCCGGGTCTGCAGATCAGGACGGGGGGTCTGGTCCGTCATTGCCGTGTGGCAGGCTCTGCAGGCCTGGGGAGGCCTCGGAGCGAGGACGGCCTCTCCTGCCTCGGGGTCCAGCTCTCTCCCACTGAGGGTGCCCTGCGGAAGGGCACGAGCCTGGGGGTCCTGGGCATCCCCGAGTGCTGGGCGCTCAATGTCTGGCTCTTCTGCGTGTGTCAACGTGGAGGCGAGGTGTGTACAAAGCTGGGTGGGGTCCTGGCCAGGGGCTGGCGTGCACCCCAGATTTAGGACCCGAGTGTGGCCTCCTCAGACTCTTGAAGGGGAGATGGCTCAGGGGTGGAGTTCTTGGGATCCTGCCCCTGAGTCCTCAAGGTGAACCCGGTGGGAACAGGTTGAAAGGCCAGAGGGCACCTGGGGGGTTCTTGACAATACCGCCTTCCCCTGAGCACTGTCGAGAAGCACCTTGTGACCGGATAGAGGCGGTCTGGAGGCATCTGACTGTGGTGAGCATTTCCTGGGTGTTGTGCTTTTCATGTTATGACCCGACAACGCTGTGACGTGGGTTTCAGTGCTACCCTATTTTACGGATGAGGGACAGATGCCTGATAGTTGCAAAGCTGTCAGTCCTTTGCCTATAATACCATGCCTGCAGGATCAAGGTGTCCTGGCCCTCGGGGAGCGCGAGAACGGCTCTCTGGCCTCCCAGGGCAGGGCGGGTGGCCTCTTTGCAGGGGTGGATGAGGGTGGAGAGGTGCACCCCCACCAGGGATGTTGGGGGAGATTTAATAAAGGGGACTCCACAGCTTACCCTTCAGTGTCTGACGGACAGCGCATCCCAAGACACCCAGAGGACTTTTGGGCTTGGTCACTGACCTCCGGTAGAAATCAAAGAATGGAACCCAGGAAAGTTAGTCCCGGAGGGGAAGTAGTTAAGCTGCCTTCCTTGCATCTGTAGGGTAATGAGATGGAAAATGCCTCTAAAAATAAACACACCTGCATGATTGATGGCACCAGGCGTGGGGCTGGCGTGCCTTCCAGACAGATGCTTGGGGAGAACAGGCGGGGGAGGAGCCAGCACTGGGCCACTGTGAACAAGACATCTGGGTGGAAACACATTGTCCATTTTTTTTGGTGGGGGATGGGTTGTTTTTAATTGACACAGAATTCACATTGCTGTCATTTTTAATGGACTGCCAGGCAGGAAAGTCAGGGGGACAGCGTCGTGAAAGGGGACCTGGATTTCAGAGAGCCCCTGTTTTGTATGACGTCCCTCAGAAGGCTCAGAGAATGACACCCAGAGGGCAGTTATCCCAAATTCGTTCTTCACGTTTTCTTTCAGTCTTTCTTCCTTCAAAATATAATGTTCCTTCTTTTCTGTCCTACTTTCATTTCCTGACGTCTGCCAGCCTTTCGTTAAGTGACAATTAAGTGAAAGTGTTAGTCGCTCAGTCACGTCTGACTCTTTGCAGCCCCACTCACTATGTGCTCTGCCCATGGGGTTCTCCAGGTGAGAATCCTGCTCTGCCCATGGGGTTCTCCAGGTGAGAATCCTGCTCTGCCCATGGGAATCCTGCTCTGCCCATGGGGTTCTCCAGGTGAGAATCCTGCTCTGCCCATGGGGCTCTCCAGGTGAGAATCCTGCTCTGCCCATGGGGTTCTCCAGGTGAGAATCCTGCTCTGCCCATGGGAATCCTGCTCTGCCCATGGGGTTCTCCAGGTGAGAATCCTGCTCTGCCCATGGGGCTCTCCAGGTGAGAATCCTGCTCTGCCCATGGGGTTCTCCAGGTGAGAATCCTGCTCTGCCCATGGGGCTCTCCAGGTGAGAATCCTGCTCTGCCCATGGGGTTCTCCAGGTGAGAATCCTGCTCTGCCCATGGGGCTCTCCAGGTGAGAATCCTGCTCTGCCCATGGGGCTCTCCAGGTGAGAATCCTGCTCTGCCCATGGGGTTCTCCAGGTGAGAATCCTGCTCTGCCCATGGGGCTCCCCAGGTGAGAATCCTGCTCTGCCCATGGGGTTCCCCAGGTGAGAATCCTGCTCTGCCCATGGGGTTCCCCAGGTGAGAATCCTGCTCTGCCCATGGGGCTCTCCAGGTGAGAATCCTGCTCTGCCCATGGGGCTCTCCAGGTGAGAATCCTGCTCTGCCCATGGGGCTCTCCAGGTGAGAATCCTGCTCTGCCCATGGGGTTCTCCAGGTGAGAATCCTGCTCTGCCCATGGGGTTCTCCAGGTGAGAATCCTGCTCTGCCCATGGGGCTCTCCAGGTGAGAATCCTGCTCTGCCCATGGGGTTCTCCAGGTGAGAATCCTGCTCTGCCCATGGGGTTCTCCAGGTGAGAATCCTGCTCTGCCCATGGGGTTCTCCAGGTGAGAATCCTGCTCTGCCCATGGGGTTCTCCAGGTGAGAATCCTGCTCTGCCCATGGGGTTCTCCAGGTGAGAATCCTGCTCTGCCCATGGGGTTCTCCAGGTGAGAATCCTGGGGTGGGTAGCTGTTTCCTTCTCTGCTGAGTGCTGGCTTGCTTCCTCACGGGACTGTTTGTTTATGGGACCCCTGCTCTGCCTGTGGGCACTACTGGGGGGAGACTGCAGCGGTCAGGGGGCAGCCCAGGGCCCACCTACCTGGGGCTCCAGTGACAGCCTGCACTGGGGCAGGTGAAGGGGGTGAGGGGCCTGGCAGAGGGGTGTCTGTGAGGCCCTGCTTGGTCCTCAGTGCATGATGCTGGTGTCGCAGGGTCGCCTGGCGCAGTAACCAAACTATGAGAACAAGACGTGGGGAGGACATGCTGGCTGAGGAATGGGGCGTCTAAGGAGACCTCAGTGACAGGAATGCTGGAAATTCCTGGGGTAAATCAGGCTGAGGTTGAAAGATGGGTGGGTGTGGAGCAGGGGTTCCTGAGTCCAAGACGCAGCTATCAAAGGACCCAGTACAGCCTGAGCTGTGGCTACCCAGAGCGAGCGTACACCAGGCTGCTTGCAGGGCTGGGCTCAGAGGCAGGGTCGCGTGCCTCTCCTCGTCCTGGGCTCGGACCCACCTCCTCAGAGCTCTGTGGTCATCCCTACACGGGGTGGGGGTGCGGGTTCTGGAGATCAGAAGCACGTCTGGAGGATCAGCCAGGGTTGAGGGTGGTCAGAGACCGGCCGCCCTCCTGCCCACGGAAGGGCAGCCTTGGGGCTGGCCCATGCCTTTGGCGGTGGTAGCTGGGTTGGGCTTGGGCTCAGGAGCAACTTCCTCTGTCTGTGGAAGGACAGGCAGCTTTCTCGCCCGCAAAGCCTCCCCTGCTCAGTGCGTCTGACAGGTAGCGAGGCCCTGCGGTACACGAGGCGCTGAAGAGGCTCAGCAGACAAGCCCCTCATGTCCGCTGTCTCAGGGCTTTGTAAATAGGTTACATCTTGCTGTGCAAGATCCTTCCAGAGTCAGTTTATTTCCCAAAAACGGCCTTTTTCATTTGGAGGACCTTAAACAAGGGAGGACGCTAGTGGTTCTAAAGTCGCACCAAGCGGTTTTGCTCGGTGGGCAGTGTTGCCTTCTTCTTTTGCTATGACGTTTCCTCGATGCGGGGCTTCCCTGGTGGCTCAGAGGTAAAGAATCTGCCTGCTGACGCAGGTGACACAGGTTTGATCCCTGGACTGGGAGGATCTCCTGAAGAAGGAAATGACACCCCACTCCAGTATTCTTGCCTGGGAAATGCCATGGACAGAGGAGCCTGGCAGGCTGTAGTGTGGGGTCACACAAGAGTCGGACACAGCTGGGTGACTGGACAACAGCAACAGCCTCCATGCACTGCAGCTGTGGTCTGGTCCCTGGGTGCATCACTTGCAAGCGTCTCAGCCACCGCTTGGCCGTGTGGACCGGAAGTGGGCCGTGTGGAGCGGAAGTGGCCGAGTGGACCGGAAGGGCTTCCCCGTTCCAGGCGTGTCAGAATCCCGTACCAGGCCTGCTCTGGTCCCTCCTCTGCAGTCTCCTCCCTGCCCCGCCCCCCGCTCCTCCCCGCTCCCTGAGTTTGGTTCAGCGGGCCTGGGCTGGGACCAATTATTTGCAGCTTCCCAGGTGACGCTGATGGTCCAGGGAACACACTTTGAGAACCCTCTGCTCCAGGGCAAATTCCTGGGGACTTATTGGAACACACAACTGGTACCCCAGGGCAGAAGATGGGCCCCCTCCCCTTTCAGAATTCCTGGGAGTTCTGAAGGATGTTCTGGTTGAAACACCTCTTGGATCCTTGTCCTGGGCACCTCCCGGGGCAGCCCCCGCCTGGGACACGGTGGTGAGCAAGGAAGCTGACTGTGGTCCCTCTCTGGAGGGCTGGAGCGGGGCCTCGCACACAGGCTTTGTGCATGGGCTATCTGATAGGAAGTCCTAGAGGCGGGGCAGAGGATGTGTCCGAGTGGTCCTGCTCGCTGTGGTCTGCATTCCAAGTCTGCTGCCCGCTGCTGAGGGGCCCCTAGCAAGCTTCTGGTCTTGACTTCTGCAGGTCCCCCAATGCTCACATGAGGGTCCCAGGGGCGTCGTAGGATAAAACAGGGTGAGGTGCACATGAAACCCCTAGTGCAGTGGTCCCACTTCTTGGTCAATACCCGCAAGACTCAGAAGATTAGACCCCGAGGTCATGGGTTTGTAGAACACATTATTTCCCAGCGAAATTGTTCTCCTTCTTGGCCCAGATTGGGTGAGTTCTCTTCCACGATGCGACACAGAGAAGAACACCAGTGGATGGTCAGGACAGCAGCAGAGAGAATTCTTTGCAAATTATAGACCCATCTCTTGAAACCCAACGGGGCACCACAGACCAGCATCTCTTTGCAGATCCCCGGAAGATAGCCAGGTCCAGTGAGCCCTGCCCTGGGCTCCTCATTGCAGAAGCAGCGTCGCTTACTTCTGTGACAAACAGAAAAGGCCCTAATGTTGGTACACTGCCAGACGCTGGCAGTTTGAGTCAGAGGCTGTGCTTCATTAAAAAAAAAAAAAAAGCTGCTCATGGCATCCACAGAAAACTGATTGCCTCTGAAAATTCATGGAGAGTGTCAGCTTTGTCCACAGGCATGGAGAATACTATTAAAATTTAAAGTGTTGAAAAGAATTAGGCAAAAAAAATATCAAGCAGCTGTACTGACAGCAGGGTCCAGGGATTGCAGTGGTGGGGGTGTGGGGGGGAGTGACATTGACTTTTAATATTTCCTGTCTTGGTTCTCTCTGCTTTGCTCATCCCTGTTTCTGGGTGGCCAGAACTCTCAATGCCCTCCGATCAGTACGAGCTACAGCTTCTGAACAACGTCTGGGACCCAGAGGGAGCCCCGGGCCGGCCTGTGGCGGTCTTGGCCCAGGACACGTCAACAGTCACCGCCGTGCAGCTGGGACAGAGTAGCCTGGTCCTCGGCCATAAGAGTATCCTTTTCCCGGATGGCGCGCCCGCACCTGTGTGTCCTGCACAGACGTGCTGTTTGAAAGTCAAGTCACTTTTCTCCCTGAAACCTTGGCGAGGCTAAAAATAGCCCTGTTTTCCCTCAAGGTCTGAAAATCAAAAAGGACCAAAATAGCATGGTGTCTGAGCAGAATGGCTCACCTCGGTGCAGGACTTCTTGGAGAGGCTCTGAGATGGAGGCGGTGGCTGGGGCTGAGCCCCCCTCCCCGCCTCTGGAATTGTCTCTGGTCTCATCCTAGGGGCCTGGCCTAGGCTGTTCCCACACAAGTGTGTGGGTTGTCATGTGTCCCAGACTTTTTCACTTGGCCCAGGTGGTCTCCAGGGTCCCTGTTGAGGCCCCCTTTTGAGTGGAGGAAGTGCCCTATGGCCGCTGATCCTGGAAAAGACCTGTGTTCTGCAGGGCCTCAGGCAGGGGCCCTTCCATCCTTGCTTCTGCCTGTGTGATGTTGATAATGACGGAGCCGCAGGAGCCAAACTGAAGCCTGCCAGCCGGTTCATTGAGCCTTAATTCAAAATCCAGGCATCCGCATGCAGGGAGCATCCCGGTTACCCAACAGCACGATCTATGTGGTGGAGCCCGGGTACCTAGGTGAGTGTGCACGTCCTGGGTTGTCTGGGATTCCAGGAAGTAAAGAGTCAGGTAAAAGCAACAGCCCCCCAGACAATGGCCTCACTTTGGCCAGATCTGCTGGCTGGGAGGCCTGGGCCATCAGCTCCCACCCTGACCCAGTCCTTCCCCTGTCTGTGTACAGGACAAGCGGAGGGAGGGTGGGCCAAAGTCCAGCAGGGAACCCGCTCTTCAGGGAGGGAAGCAGGACAGAGTCGAGTGGGGAGGGCTCTGTCTCCTGGCTTTATACCTGGGCTCTGCCCAGACCACATCATGGCTGCGGACGTGGGAGAGATGTCTTGGAGGGAAGGAGGGGAGGGCTGGAGGCCTAGAGAGGAGGGGAGAAATTCTGAGCCACAGAGCATCCAGAGGGGCATAACCAGGGCCCAGGAGCTGCCCAGGGATAGTATTCAGAGTGTAGACCTACTGTGGAGTCAGGGTGCAGACCTACTGTGGAGTCAGGGTGCAGACCTACTGTGGAGTCAGGGTGCAGACCTACTGTGCACCCAGAGTGTAGACCTCCTGGGCACTCAGAGTGCAGACCTCCTGTGGATTCAGGGTGCAGACTCACTGTGGGTCAGAGCTGGGCCCACCATGGATAGGGTCAAGTTTGAATGGGCCCTGGAGCCACCAGGAGCAAATGTTCAGGTTTGGTCCAGGGGCTTGTGAGGGCAGCTGGGGTTCTGAGCGCTCAGGCCTGCTGTGCGCATTAGATCTGCCAATCACTGGCGCTGGTCCTTCCCTGGGAGGCGAGCAGGGGAGTGGCCGTGGCCCCGTGCTCACGGGGCCTGGTTTACCCTCTTCCTGAGCCGCAGGCCCCTGTGACCCCAGTGCTGAGGCTCTGTGCCCCTGCCTCTTCTGCAGGGTTCACGGTCCACCCGGGTGGCAGATGGGTGCTCGAGACCGGCCGCCCGTATGAAATCACCATCGAAGTGCTGGACAAGTCTGGTAACAAGGTCTACCTGTCGGATGTGAGTGCCCCTCGGGCCTGGTGGGGGTGTAGGGGTACATCTCCTGGAGCAGGTCCCTGGAGAGCCTCCTCAAATCACTGGGCCCCCCAGCAGGCGGGCTGAGTAGGGGTGCTTCTTACGGTACTGCTGGATCCCTGGGAAACCCTGTCATGGGGAACTTCGGGCATCTCAGGGCCCCGTGAGCCTGTGAGTCTGCACCCTGAGGCTGCACTCCCATCAGCTGGAGCAGGGAGAGGAGGCCGCAGGCAGCAGGGTCACAGAGGCGGTGATGGTGGCGGGGGTGGCGTCTCCCATTTGCCCTCCTGCTCCCTCCTTGTTAGCCCAGGGACCTCACCACTGAGAATCCTTCTTTCCTGGCCCTACAGCGGTTCAGGGCCAGAAATGCCTTTGAACTGTCCAGAGGCCCCTCGACTGAGGCCAAGCCCAGTAGCTTCCTGGTTCTGGAAAGAGCTTCACACAAACGGGCAGACAGAGAGGCATCTTGGCTGCATTTGTTCCTTTGTGAGCAATTCTCAGGATCCTGAGAATATCCAGACCTTCCTCGTGGGGTCTGAAGTTTCTCTTCAGCCTTTTGGTAGAAGCCACCGCCTTCTTTGTGTTACTAGACTCGCTCCATCACCGTTTTGGGGGGACGTTAGCACTAAGGGATTCTGTCGTCGTTCTTTGTATTTGGTGGTTTCCTTGTTGGGACCACGGGGTCTGAGCGCCAACTGTGGCTTCGTGCTCCTGAGCGCCGGCTCATCTGGTCACACACGGAGGACAGCCTGGGAGGGGCTGAGGCTCGGGGCTCAGGGCACAGATCCCGGGCTTCGTGCAGCTCATCAGCCTGGCTCGACTACTCTTTGGGGGCCACGTGGCTTCTTTTCCGCATCCTGACTTCCCTGAGTTGTCCCAGAATCTCCTCTCACCAGCCTGCGTTGCCTTCCAGAACATCCGCATTGAAACTGCGCTCCCTGTGGAGTTCTTTGAGGTGCTGGCTTCTTCGCAGAATGGGTCGCACCATCGCGTCAGGGCGACAAAGAGGGGCCAGACAGCCATCGAGGCGGCCCTCACCTCTGTGGTGGACCAGGCACGTTGGCACCTCCCCGGGCCGCCCCGGACCCTCTGCAGGCAGAGTTGTCACCAGGGTGGCAGGAGCTGGAGGAGTGGGCCCCGAGAGTTCTGTGCCGTCACGGGTGCCGTGGGGGTCCCTCCCGCTCTAGGCCCCCAGGGGCGTCGGGTGGGGGCTCTGGCCCTTCCCTGTCCCCTGTCCTCTCCCTGCGGCAGACGAGAGCCCCTCTTCCTCCGCCCCTTGCTGGCTCCTGAAAAAGTGAGCCCTGACCGCTGGGACTGGGTTTAGCAACCCTTGTCGGGAGCAGTGTTGGGCCTATGTGTCCAGCTGTGCACTAACTGGGACCCATGAGTGTTTCTTTGGCTGTTTTGGGTCCTTCAGAGTTTTAAAATTCCCACCTGTTTTTGAAAGGCCAGTCAGTTTCGGTGGGAGCAGATTCTACTGATTGGAAGCTTGGTGTAGGGCTTCTCATCTCCCAACTACACCTCTCCCGGGCCTGGCGGAGGCCGCTGTGGCCTGGGGACCAGGCAGAAATTCCTACCGAAGCGGCCACTTCTGCTCTGGGGGCTCTGGGCAAGTGGCTGTCATGTCCCATGCCTTGGTTTCCGTAAAGTGGGGATAACCGTGACCATCCCGGCAGGAGTGCCGTGAGGATGCAGTCAAGTAGTGCTGACTGGAGTGGCAGTTGAAGAGCCACCGAAAGCCGTCTCCATGGAGACAAAGAAGGCTGCAGGGTACCCGGCGTCTTCCTTCCCATTCCCCCACAGTCTGAGGGGAGGGGCGGGGTCTGGTTGTCATGTTGGTGTGTGGCTCCCTTGCCCCCTTGCAGGATGGAGGGGTCCACACATTACGAGTGCCTGTGTGGAACCAGCAGGAGGTAGAAATCCACAGCCCCATCACCCTTCATCCAAGCATCTTGACGTTTCCATGGCAACCAAAGGCAGGCGCCTATCAGTACACGATAAAGGTAACTGGGAGGCCCCGTCTGGGTGACTTTCTTTGGGTGTTTCCATGTGTTGGGGCTTGAATTCCATTCTGTTTGTGTAAAATTACCGTCTATTGGTTGAAAGAATTTGAAATCAAAGTCTTTATGCTTTCTGTATCTTCCAAGGTTTTCTATCACAGCAGGGTATTTTGGCAATTAGGAAAAAACCTTGAAAAACAGAAAAGAAATCACAAGGTAGAAAGTCCAGATCATGGATTTAACTTTCACATGTGGTTTTTATTTTTCGTAAAAATAATTGCTTTCTGGAAGCAGTGTAAATATCTTTAGAGAAAACCTTGGAACTGGCAGGGGAGATGTCTCCAACTCCCTCGCATGTCTGGTATTCTTGGTCTCTGAAGGTCACGTGTCCCCCCAGCGTTAGTGGCAGGGCCCAGGGCCTTTTGGGGCTGGGGTTCGTGGGGGCCGTCCTCCGTCCACCCCGCTGTCTGCCTGCAGTGAGGACAGGTGTCCTGTGTGTGCCCTGGGACCCGCTGTCTCTTCCCTCAGCTGTGTCACCTTCCCGGCCCCTGATGCAAAGGCCGCTGGGCTGCCCTTGACTTCACAGCAGATGGCTGGAGCGGGCAGAGTGTGTGCAGGAGGGGCAGGGACGTCACGACTCTATGGCCGGGGTCTTCCTGCTGCAGCCTGAGCTCGGGAGGTGCCCCTGGGTCCTGGGGCCACTGTCAGGGGCGTGTGCATACACGTGTGTGTCCGTCAGAGGTCCGTGGAATACGAGGACCAGGAGACAGGGCGGGGAGAGCAAGGGGTACGGGCAGAGCCAGCCGGACGTTGGCTGATGCCTGTGTCTCCATGCGGTGACGCAATGCCAACGCGTGTAAGCAAGGGTGTGAGAGAGAGAGAGGGGTGGCAGGGCAGGGCAGGTGGGCTGACCGGTGATGCCTTTCCTCCCCAGGCCCACGGCGGCAGCGGGAACTTCAGCTGGTCCTCGTCGAGCTCTGTGGTGGCCACGGTCACTGTCAAGGGCGTGATGACCACAGGCAGTGACACAGGGGTCAGCGTGATCCAGGCACATGACGTGCAGAACCCGCTGCATTTCGGCGAGATGAAGGTGAGGCCTGGGTCAGGGCGGTCACAGGGCGGCTCGGGGAGTGATCGGAGCTGCCGTCTTAACCAGCCTCAGGCTTAGTTCAGAAACCTTGGCTGGGATTGTGGTGAGGGGGGTCGGGGGTCGGGTCCAGCCCGGCCCTGAGCTCATGGACGGACCCGGGAGACAGCCATCCCATCCCACACCCGGCAGGGGTGGGACTGCCGGGATTCTGAAGGGAGGTCAGAGGATTCAGAAACACGAGATACTCAAAGGAGTCCTTCTAGAAGGCCCTCCGACCCGAAAGCTAGGACTCTGCGTCAGAAAGGCCACTGGGTGCTGAGTTATAAATTCATAGGGAGAGGAAGCCCCCAGGCCCCAAGAGACTAGCCTGCTGCTTTCCTCTGGTTCCTGTTCAGATCCAAGTCAGGAGTCCCCATCATGGGGACCCTACACCTGGCGTCCATCCCAAATGACGTGGGACCAACTCAGTGACGGCCAAAGGTGGGCGTGACCCCCTGCAGCCGAGCCCTGGACAGCCACACCTGGTGGCCTCCTGACCCCAGCGCACTCCTGCCTGCCTGACCCTGAGCTCAGCTGCTTTTATCACTCCATTTGGGGCCAGAATGGAAGCTCCATACATAGCGTGTCCAGTCCCAACCTCCTGCGTTATTTGGGACATAACACACAGGTTGCCCTCTTCTTTTTATTTCCGTTCACACACACCTACCTGAGGATCCGTCTGAGTCTCGTGTGCGTCCTGTCATTTCTATCATGTCTGACTCTGTGTGACCCCGTGGACTGTAGCCCAGCAGACTCCTCTGTCCATGAGATTCTCCAGGCAAGAATCCTGGAGTGGGTTGCCACGCCTTCCTCCAGGGCGTTTTCCCAACTCAGGGGTCAAACCTGTTTCTCTTGTGTCTCCTGCACTGGCAGGCGGGTTCTTCACCACTAGCGCCTCCTGGGAGGCCCAGGCTCTCAGGGAAGGAGGGTTGTAACCGAAACAGCCTAGCTGTAGCGGATGCTCCAAGTGTTTGGATGGTCTGTGAGCAGTGAGCCCCTCTGGAGGCCACAGGCTGATTCATCTCAGAGAATATGCCCCGCCCACCCGCTGCTGAGCCCAGAGCCTGCACCCAGCCCCGCAGTGTCTGCAGTGGTCGGAGCCTGGCTTCTGGGGCTGCCTGCCTGGTCCAGACTCACCCTGCTGCAGCCGGGCAGGCTCTCAACCCCCACAGCAGGTTCCTTATCGGGCAGAGACACTGGTGACCTTCTTGACAAGGAGGCTGAGAGGATGGGGAGAACTTGTGCAGTTCTTGGAACAGAGCCTGGCATCTGGGCAGTTTTGTTCGGTGTTGATGCCGGTGACGCCTCTCACTATGTGCTCCCCTCTTCTTTACCTTCCTCCGATGTGCTGAGCTGTATGTGCCTCAGGGCCTTTGCACAGACCGTCTCTTCAGCCAGACTGGGTCTGGCCATCTCTGACACGCTCCCAGGTCAAGCTCATGTGTCACCTTCCCAGGGAAGCCTTGTCTGCATCTCTGCCCGGAACGTCTCTCTGCCCCCTGAACAAAGCATCGTGTCGCCCAAGCTCAGGCTTCTCACTAGTGGGTCCTGAGTGCCCACACGCAGGAATCAAAACTGAGCAGCGGCTCTCCCTCCTCTGTGTAGCCGGCTGACCGTATCCCCCAACCCTGTCCTGCAGGTGTATGTGATCGAGCCCAGCGGCATGGAGTTCGCCCCGTGCCCAGTGGAGGCCCGCGTGGGCCAGAGCCTGGAGCTGCCTCTCAGGATCCATGGCCTGATGCCGGGCGGGGCTGACGACGTGGTCACCCTGAGCGACTGCTCCCACTTCGACTTGGTGGTGGAGGTGGAGAACCAGGGCGTGTTCCAGCCACTCCCAGGTAACGCAGTGCTGTGAGCATCCGCCGACTGGCGGGGTCACTGCCGATGACCTGGGTTCTCAGCGTGGTTTGCCCAGATTCCTAAGTCAGGAGCTGAGCCAGCGGAGGGGTCACAGCCTGAGAAATGGCGTTTGTCCCCTGTCCACCCCCAGCTACGGTCTGCTCTGCACCTTTCTGACATGTGGCCTGCATGTCGCTTGGCTTTCTGAGCCTCAGTTTCCACGTCTCTAAAATGGGCGTCATCCTAAGTAGACTTTCATGTCGTGGTGCCCTTCGCGGTACCTGGCATGTGGTAGGTGCTCGGAATACACTGTCCATAGGGGTTCTGATGAGTGACAGAATCGCAACACCTTTGTGACCCGGCGGTCTGCCCCTCCAGAGCCGTTGGAACCAGGCCCCCCTGAGGGCTGGGTGGTGAAGTCTGTGGTGATGGTAGTGGGTGTGGCGCACCACATTCCTGCCAGGTGTGGTGCGTGCACCTGGCGTGCATGACCTCACCAGACGTCAGAGCCGCTGTTGGGGGGGGGGGGGCTGTGGTCAGGCCACGTGCTGGACAAAGAGACCGAGGCCGTGTCACTGCCCAGGGTCCCCCGAGGGCCCAACGCCAGGTCCTCAGGATGGAATGCGAGGCTGGGTATGTGCAGCACTCACCCAGAGCCTTAGTGCCCCGGGAAACGGGGCCTCCCTGGGGTGTCGGCTGAGGAGTCCCCTAGGGTTGCAGGTGATGCAAACCACGCCTGAGGGTGAGTACACCCCGGGCAGGGTGAGAGGGGTAGGGAGCAGTGATTGTGGGCACGCCTGTGGGCCGCGTGCACACACAGTGGCCTGAGGTTGCAGAACCTGTCAAACCCTGCATCACTGGGGCTTTGGGGTACATTGACCTCAAAGTGGCCAGAACTGGGGGACACTGCTGGTTTCTGAGCAGGGGAGTGACCACTGGATCCTGGCAGGGTTTAGGAAACTTGGCAGTCAGAGGTGTTTGTAGGCTCGTCTGTGGGGCCACCGTGGTCGTGGTCATTCACAGAGCTGTGTGAAGGCAAAGCTGCTCGGACGTCATGGAACATCCCGGGACATCGCCGTGTTCACATTCTCCGCCGTAGCAGCAGTTGCATCTTCTCAGACTGTCCAGGGGAAACCAGGCCTTATGGGCTCTGTGTCTTCAGAGAAGCCACTGCTTAGCGGGGAGGCCGACACCAGCACGGCCTTCCCAGGTGGTTCAGCAGCTCAGGATCTGGTTGCCAAAGCAGGAGTCGCAGGAGGCCCGCGTTTGATCCCTGAGTCAGGAAGATCCCCTGGAGGAGGAAACGGCGACCCACTCCAGTACTCTTGCCTGCAGAATCCCATGGACAGAGGAGCCTGGTGGGCTGCCGTCCACGGGGTCACAAACAGCTGGATGACTGAGCGACTGAACAGCAACAGAGCATCAGCACAGAAGGAAGAGGCCCGTCCTCCCGACGGCAGGAGAGGGGCCCGCGGCCCCGTCCCGCCCCCACGCGTCCTGGAGGGGCGTCCACGGGCAGCGGCCACGAGCTCCGGGGGGCCGAGGAGAAAGGACGGGGCTGGGGTCCACGGTCCTGGCCCCAGCGCTGCCTCTGTCAGAACTGCCGACGGGCTCTCCTCCAGGTCTGTGCACCTCACCCTGTGCACATCCGCCTTAGGGGGAAAGAACCTAAAGAAATACAGACCTGTAGTTACGTGTGTGCGAAGGCGTTCAGGATGAAGTGCACTGATGCTTGAGGCTGACTTTTAGACGCATAACCTGTGGGACGGACTGTTGGGTGGGAAGGGGGTGGGTAGACAGGCAGCCAGAGGAGCAGAAACGAATGTCCACTGTGGGATCTAAGGGGCGGGGTGTGCAGCCTCACCGCATCATTCTTTCTAAATGTTTGGGGGAAAAAACCTGTAAAATACCACCAAAATGGCTTTTTCTCAAACAGGTGCATAATACCGCAGGTTGGCGGGGGATGTCACGCAGCCGCTGGCGGCAGCGTGAGTCAACACAGCCATTTAGGGAAGGATGGTTGGAGAAAGTGATGACGCTGAGCATAGATGCTCCCAGGCAGTAAGGACCAGAGAAGAAATCCTGCTGTCTGTGGCCTGCCAATAGAAATGCTGAAATGCATCCTCAGAGAAATGCCGCACATGCTCTTGGCAGCTCACTGCGCCCTCATGGCCCCGCACGGCCAACGGCCGTTAGAAGGGTTAAACGCCAGCCCCAGGTGGGATGTACTCCTGTTGAGACAGTCTAATAGTAACATGATACACCGCGTTAGCAAAACAGAAGAAGAAAACCGCGTCATTATCTCAGTGGAGGCAGAGAAATCAGTGGACAAGTCTCAAAACCTCTTTATGATAAAATCAGCCTACAAACTGGAAATAGACGGAAATGCCACAAACTTAATAAAAGCCCTATATGAAAACCCACAGCTGACATCATACTCCGTGGTAAATGGCTGAAAACTTTTACCCTAAGATCTGGAACAAGATAAGGTTGCCTGCTGTCACCACTTCAACATGATAGCAGAAGTCCTAGCCAGAACTATTAGGCAAGAAAAGGTAATAAAAGACACCCAAACTGGAAAGGAAGATGTAAGTGTATCTGTTTGCAAATGATCCAGTCTTAATATGTGAAAACCCTAAAGATTCCACCAAAAATACCTCTCAGGAGTAAAATGAATGTGGAAAAATAGTATTTGTGTGGAATCCCAAAGATCTGGAACAGCCAAAGTGATGCTGAAAAAAGAACAAACTTCGAGAGCTCATTCTTCCCATTTTCAGGACTTATTACAGGTTGCTGTTGATTTGTTGCCGAGTCGTGTCTGACTCTTTGTGACCCTGTGGACTGTAGCCCGCCAGGATCCTTTTTCTATGGGATTTCCCAGGCAAGAACCCTGGAGTGGGTTGTCATTTCCTTCTCCAGGGGATCTTCCAGACCCAGGGATCAAACCCACATCTCCTGCTTGGCAGGTGGATTCTTTACCACTTAGTCACCTGGGAAAGTCCTTATTATAAGTTATAGTAATTGAATCAGAGTGGCAGTTGCACAGATTTAGAGGCCGGGGAAATAGAACAGAGAGCCCAGAAAATACTTTGAGTGATTCTGCCAGTACTGAGTGGGAGAGAGCCGGTTACCAAGGACTTCTGCCTGCAGTTCCCTTTGTTTGAGTTCCAAGGCCAGCAGGATCCGGCTCTGCTCTTAGGAGTCTGCGAGCAGTGGTTTTCCTCTGGGGAGGGGCACGGGGAGGTGCAGGTCATGGCTGGTACTTGATCCCGGGCCTAGAAACAGGGCGTGTTCAGTCTGCAGGGAGAAATGGCGAGCTGTATGCTTATGATATGCGTATGCTTTTTGTTATGAGAATTATACTTGAAAATGGTACATTAAAAATGGATTCGTATCAAGCCCTGCGTGAAGGAGGGTGTCAGCCCGTCGGGTCCCCCCTGACAGAGGCGCGTGCTCGCTGACCTCTGCTGCTCCCGTTGCAGGCAGGCTGCGGCCGGGGCCTGACCACTGCAGCGGCGTCACGGTGAGGGCAGAGGCCCAGGGCTACACCGCGCTGCTCGTCAGCTACAGGCATGGCCATGTGCACCTGAGCGCCCGCGTCACCATCGCCGCCTACCTGCCCCTCAAGGTGAGCCCCGGGCCCGGCCCTCTGCTCCTCTCCGGACGTGCCCCCCTCCACCTGACGCCAGGTGAGCGTCAGCATCTGGGTCCCCTGTGCACATGCGTGCAGAAGGCATGAAGTGTGTTCCTGCTCAGAGCACGCTGCCTTTGCTGTGACACCAACTCCCGAGTCTGAATCCAGGTCCTGCACCAACTCTGCAACTTTGGTTTAATTTCTCAGGGCCTCAGTTTCCTTGCCTGTAAAATGGGGCTAATATAGCACCTACCTTAGTGAGGAGGAGGATTTGAGCAAAACGAAATGGGCTGAGAACTGTGCCCGGGAGGTAGCAAATGCTCTGTAGGGTTAGTAGTTAACGTGTGGGCAAGAAAGGCTGGCCCTTCCTCCCAGGTGGGGTCCTGCAGCCTCACACAGACCTGAGCAGGCCTGTTGGTTTAGAGTATGTTTCCTTCTCCTCCTGCCCCACTAGAAGCAAGCTCGGGGACATTAGAAACCGTCATCTCTGAACCCCTAGCCCTGGGCAGTGTCTGATGCAGGGCAGACAACAGCCAAGGGTTGTTTTGGATTTCCTGTTGAGATGTAATCGACAGATAATGCTGCGTTAGTTTCATTCGTGAAGCACGGTGACTTGATACTTGTCTGTGCTGTGAAACGATCACCATGAGTCTAGTCAATGCCCATCACCACACACAGTTACGTGTGGTTTTTTTTTTTTGCCTGTTCCTCTGTCCTCAAAAGGTACTAGGCTCTATATCCTGTCCTGCACCTTGCTGCTTTACTTGAAAAACAAAGAAGATAACTTGCAGACCTCTTCACATACACGTGGGAAGGTCTTTGCTTCCTATTTGGTCATAAAGATAGACCAGTTTACCACCCTGCTGATGGGTGTTTGGGCTGTTCCCACGCTTTCCCCTCTTAAAAAATAATGCTGCAGTGTGTAGTTCTGTGCCTGCAGTTAGCATATTCATGGAGCCCTATCTTCCGAGTCCATTCCTAGAGCGAATACTGCTCGGACAAGGGATAAATAGGCCTGTGATTTTAGCAGACACTGTGATTTTAGCAGACATTGCTGAATTTCCCTCTGTTGGTGTTGTGCCATTTTCCTATCTTCCCCAGCAGAATATGAGAACACATTTCTCAATAATACTGTATTTGAAAGTTGCTGAGAGAGTAGATCTTAAAAGTTCTTCTCGTCATGAGAAAAGAACATTTGTAACTTTGTGTGGTGACAGCTGTTGACTAGACGTACTGTAGTGATCATCTAGGCAGATATCAAATCACTGTCCTGTACTAATGTAGCTCATGTAATGTTATATGTCAATTATATCTCAAAAAAACAGCTTCCTTTTATAAAAGAGTATGTGTTTAGGACTTCCCCAGTGGTCCGGTGGCTCAGACTCTGTGCTCCCAACGCAGGGCATCCATCCCTGGATTCGATCCCTGGTCGGAGAACTAAATCCCACTAGTCGGAGCTAAAGACCCCACGTGCTGCAGCCAAGACCTGGCACAGCCGAAAAATAAAAAAATAAAGTGCGTGTGTTGCCACAGACTCATCAGCAATGTGTGTATTCAGACTTTTGATTTTTGCTGATGAGACGGCAGAGAAGTAGTATCCAGTGTAGCTGTAATTTGCTCTTCTTAAGATATTTTACTTTTTTCTACATGGTTTTTCATGTCTCACGTGGTTGAGATCACACTACAGATGTACGAGGAGAACAGACATGCCCTTCCTTTCATGGAGCCCGTAGGCCAGGAGGGGAGACGGACACCCGAATGATCCTCCCTGGCAGGGCCGTGAGCACCACATAGGGCAAAGACCAGAGAGCGAGCCCCGGCTGGGCAGGCCTGCCCCTGCGGAGACTTGCCGACTCCTCTGCTTTCTCCCGCAGGCTGTGGACCCCTCCTCTGTTGCCGTGGTGACCCTTGGCTCCTCGAAGGAGATGCTCTTTGAGGGTGGTCCCAGACCCTGGGTCCTGGAGCCTTCCAAGTTCTTCCGCAATGTCACCTCAGAGGACGCGGACAGCATCAGTCTGGCTCTCTTTGGGCCCCCTGCCTCCCGTAATTACCAGCAACACTGGATCCTCGTGACGTGCCAGGTCTTGGGTGAACAGGTGAGAAGGCGGCCACCCCCAGGCCTGCCTTGTCCAGAGGAGGGATGGAGAGTCACGTCCCCGAGTACCCTGCTGTGCCTCCTGTCCTCATTTTGTCTAATCCTCAGGATAGCCCTAAGACACAGCTGCGGTGGCCGCACCCATTCCACAGGCAGGCAGACTGAGGACCAGGGCAGTGGGGTGGCTGAGTGGGCACCAGGGGGGCCAGGCAGGGGCAGGGCCCTGATACATGCTGGCTCGTCCTGCAAAGCTGCCTGGCATCCCCTGACCCTCCTCTTGGAGCAGGCCCAGTTCTGTTCTGTTTGTAGGGGGCCCCCGCCGGAAGGTCTGTCCGTCTCCCATGCATGTATCACTGGGCCGTTCTAAGCCCTTGGGATGGGTTATCACCGCCATCCCCATTCTGCAGAACAGCACCCTGAGTCCAGGGGCTCCCAGTGGAGTGGGGACTCAGAGCCTGGGTGTGCGATGAGTCTTCTGCCCCATCAGGTCATCGCCCTGACGGTGGGGAACAAGCCCAGTGTCACCAACCCCTTCCCGGTGCTGGAGCCCGCTGTGGTGAAGTTCGTGTGCGCGCCACCCTCCCGGCTCACGCTGACGCCTGTCTACGCAAGCCCCCAGCTGGACCTGTCCTGCCCACTCCTGCAGCAGAACAAGCAGGTGGTGAGTGGCCTCCGAGGGCCGGGTGACGCCGGTGCTGACCCTCCCTCGTTGGCACACCCGTTCTGCCCTGCGGGCGCTTGCCTGGGGGTGCCGTGGGGTGCCCAGGACCCGTGCTGTGGCAGTGTCAGGAGAAAGGGAACCTCCCCAACGCCAGACTCAGCCGCCGCTCTCATCCCCTGTGGCAAGAGCAATGTATGAAAGTCCGGGTTCTGGGAAGGCCCGGCCCGCTGGGTCCACTGTGGAGCCGGAGCTGGGGGGCAGCTCAGGGCAGTAGGCCCAGCCCCGATCTGGCTCGCGTGCGTCCACCTCCTTTGAGTGACATGGGGTGACAGCAGCCTCCGGGGTTACTAAGGGCATAAGGGGAGCTGCACACACGTGGGCGCTCAGAGGGTGGCTTAGGCGTTTCACCTTGCTCCCTGCTTCCGTCCTGCTGCGGCTTCCTCTGCACCTGAGTGAGAGCTGGACTCACACCCCTGCCTCCTGAGGCCCGCAGGCCCCGGGACAGCCTGTCACCTTCCCCACCCCACCGCCGTCCCCTCTCGGACCTGGGGCGGCCCCGTGGTCTGGCTTGCTGTTCCCTGACTGGAGTGGTCTCCTTCTGAACGCCCAGGCCCTCTCCTGCCTCCCTCAGCCCTTCACTCGCACATCACCTTCTGGGAGGGCACTCCTCAGCCTTAGACCCCATCTACCGTGTGTTCCCCCCGGTGGCTCAGCGGTAAAGAATCCGCCTGCGATGCAGGAGCTGCCAGAGATGCAGATTCGACCCCTGGGTCGGGAAGATCCCCTGGAGAAGGAAATGGCAGCCCACTCCAGTGTTCTTGCCTGGAGAATCCCATGGACAGATGGGCCTGGTGGACTTCAGTCCATGGGGGCGCAGTCACAGAGCATCTAAGCAACAGTAACAAGGGCCTCCCCAGTATTTCCTCCTCTGGTTTGCTCTCCCCCCACCCCTGCCCCCAGGCACCTGACATCCTAACGCTGTAGAATTTGCACGAAGGCAGATGTCAGAGATAGCCTGGGTTTGGTTCTAGACACACCAGTACAGCTTGAGTATTGTGATAAAATGAGTCACATGAACTTCTTGGTTCTCCGATGCATTTAAAAGCTATGTTTATATTATCCTGGAGTCTATCAAGTGTGCAGTAGTGTTACAGTTAAGGAAAACCACGTGCAGACCTGAATTTTAAAAGTACTTTATTGCTAAACAACGCTGACCACCATCTAAGCTCTCAGAAGTGAGTTGTGGTAGTGATTTCAAAGGCCCCTGATCACAGACGCCCTAACAGATACAGACAGTGATGATGAAAAAGCCTGAAGCACTGGGAGAATTACCAAAACATGATGAGGAGACACAAAGTGAACAGACGCTGCTGGAAAACTGGCCCTGACCTCCAAGCCCCTGACCTGTGAAAACACAGGTTCCACGAGGCTCCGTGCGTCTGAGCCGTGCCTGCGTTCATCTCCCTCTCTGTGGTTCTCTAGTGGGGCCCAGCTCGGGCTGGGCAGTGGGCGACAGTGGCACGGTGTTGGCCGGGGACCCCCACCCCTTTAGGCTCGTGTCCCTGCCACCCTCTGCTCTTAACTCTGCAGACTCATGTGCCTGGGGACCCCGAACCCAGGTGTGGCGGACAGGGATGGGAGGGGGTCAGGTGTGGAGAGCGAATGCCCCTCCAAAAACCCCCTTGCTCCGGCTCTTGCCCCCCCCGTCACTCTGGGCTGGCCAGACCGTCTCAGTTTCAGAGAATAAGATAATCAGATCCCCGGGCGTCCGTCCTGTCTGTAAGCACTGGCCGCTCGCCGAGTGGGCCGTGTCTGGCCATCGGTCAGCAGTGACCTCGGGGTCAGCCCAGGGTCGTCTCTTGGTTGAAAGATGGCTACGGGGCAGTGAGCACGGCTCTGCGTGGGCTTTCGTGCGTCTTAAGTCTTGCTGAACAGAGAACTGCCCTGAGATCCAGGCTCCCTGGGATTGCAGAGTCCACAGCCAGGCAGACAGGGCCGCTGTGATTCGTGGTCTTGCAGGGACCTGAAAAGGACAGATCCTTGCCGTGTATGCCGGTGCAGTGTCTGTTTCGCTTTATGCCCCTCCAGAGCCAGAGGCCACCCAGGACGTGTTTGCAGGGTAAATCACTGGTGACACCAGGCGCTGAAACGGGGCTGACCTGTCACAGTGACGGACTGGGGCCGCGCTCCAGCCTGACCCTGGGCTCCTGAGCGGGGCGTCGGCCCGGAGCGCTGAGCAGGGGCACAGATAGACCAGCTGCCTGACTCCTGCACGGAGGGAAGAGGCTGCACAGCATCCAGGGAGGCCCGCGGGCTTTAGACTCAGACCAGACGGTCTACCCCAGAACCTGTGTGACCCTGGGCGAGTGACTCCGCATCTCTGAGCCGCCTCGGCCTCCCCATTTGTGAATTTGGGGCTGCTGTTGCCGTCGCAGGGCCAGGGAACTTGCAAGCATGCTTGACGCCTGGTCCCCCTGCCTCGGCACTGCCAATGCTTCGAGCCAGGTCCTCCCTTCTTGGGGGGACTATCCTGTGCGCTATGCAGCACCCTGACTTCTACCTCCTGGATGCCAGTAGCGCCCCCTACAGTCGTGACAGCCAAAAATGTTTTCAGACATCGCCAAGGTCCCCGTCGGGGAGACGGGCTGGGATTGGACGCCAGGTAGTGTAGGACTGTCCAGGGCGCCTTGACAGCAGCCGTAGCGAGCATCCCTTAGCGAGTCACCCCCAGAAGCTCCCCGGACCCCCGTGGGCCCATCAGGCGCGCCGCGCGCCAGGGACGGCCTGCCCAGCCCAGGGTGTGGCCGCGTGGGTGACCCCGGCTTCCCGCAGGCTCCCGTCTCCAGCCACCGCAGCCCGCTGCTGGACCTGGCCGCCTACGACCGGCAGGGCCGCAGGTTCGACAACTTCAGCTCGCTGAGCATCCAGTGGGAGTCCAGCAGACCGTGGCTGGCCAGCGTGGAGCCCGCCCCGCCCCTGCAGCCGGCGCCCCCGGGCGGCGGGGACGGCCAGAAGAAGCTGCGCGGTGAGCGGCGGCCCGACCGCGGCGCCAGGCGCGGACGGGGCGGGGCCGGGACCGCTCTGCGCGGGGCTGACGCCGGGGAGCGCCAGGGCTCTCCTGCGGTCCTCACGCGCCTGCGAGGGAGGAAGGGATCCCGGGAGGGAGGAGGGGGCGGCTCAGGGCACACGGCAGCCAGGCCCAAAGCCCAGCTTGTGCACAGGCCAGGCTGGCACCCAGACCCGGCTGCTCCGAGCTCTGAGACCCCTGACGCTGCCGTTGGAGGCCCTGAGCCGTCCCCTCCAGCTCCTCTAAGCTGCTCTGGGACGCTTGCTCAGGGCCCCTTAACTCTTAGAGGGGCACACGCTATGCCCCAGCCCCTAATTTCAGGGCGGTGGGAGACTTCAAGCTACACACGGTTAGAGGGAAGGCGGGGCTGCGTCACAGGCGGGAGCCGGGCCCAGATCTGACGCGGCGTCCCTCTCGCTCTCAGGCCTGCAGCCCATTTCGGTTCACCAGGCCTCGGGCACCACGGCCATCTCTGCCACCGCCACTGGCTACCAGCATCCACACCTGGACACGGCCAGCGTGAAGCAGCCGGTACCGATCAGGGCCCCCGGGGCGGGCCGTCCTCCTGCTTCCCCTACGCTCTGCCCGCTGTTCCCGGGGTCCTGAGGCTGGCCCACTGACCGGGGCGCCTCCACGCCAGCCCCCACGCATCAGTCTCCCCTCCTGCACTCCCTGCATGCTGCTGACGGGTGGCCCAGCTGAAAGGCAGCTCGCCAATCTAGACTCTGCCCTGCCGCCCAACTCAGAGCCCCTGCCGAGCGTGCCCGGGTGGTTCAGCCCTGTCCCTTTCAGCCCGCAGCCCCCACTGCCTGGAACGCCACCCCACTTCTCTGGGGCCATGGGGGTTGTCCACCCTGCCGCCTGGCAGGTCGGGGGGCGGCTGATTTGACAGGACTAGGGGAGGCCTCACAGGGATGCAGCTCAAAGCTCGATGGCTGTTGCTGGGCTTGTGTCCCCGATACAGCGAGGTCTCTGGTGTGATGCCAGTGCCTGGGGCTGCTCTTCCATGGGGGGTGCCCTTGGGCCCGTCTGGCCCTTGGCCCCCCTGGATCTGACCGCATGGCCTTGCCCCTTCAGCATGACCCCCTCACGCCTGTGTCGGCCTCCATCGAACTCATGCTGGTGGAGGACGTGAGGGTCAGCCCGGAAGAGCTAACCATCTACAACCACCCAGACGTGCAGGTTCGGCTACCCCATCCCCACCCCACCGCCCCCTGTAGCAACCCCCGGGGACCCCTCACCTCTGACACCAGCCCGGCCCCTCCGCAGGCGGAGCTGCATGTCCGAGAAGGCTCCGGCTACTTCTTCCTCAACACCAGCAGCGCCGATGTGGTCAGGGTGGCCTACCAGGAGGCCCGGGGCATCGCCACGGTGAGTGCGCACCGCTCCTGCCTCTGCGCGTCGGCCGGCGGGTCGCGTCGGTCATGGCGCAGGGTCTTCCGATTTTCCCAGGGGTCACTGCAGACACGCTCGAGCTGCCTTTGTGGTCCACACTGTGTCTCCACAAACTACCCACGCTGTTAGCTACCTACCGGTTTCCTTTCGGTCGGCCTTTCAGGTAGGATGGGACTATTATTACATAAGCGACAACCGGAGGGACTGTTGCCTTGACGGACACATTGGCTTTTTCTGTTTCTCCATGTTCCTTCGCTGACCCCCCACCCAGCTGTGACCACAGAAGATCTGAGCCTTCCACCCTGATCAGTGCTTTAGTTCGAGTTTTCTCTTTCTCCATGTTGCTCTGTAGGCTGGATGATGATGATGATGATGATCATGATTTGGCAGTCATTTGTAGTCAGCCATTCTCTCCTTGTGGGGCATTTGGGTTGTTTAAATTTTTTTTTTTATTTTTAAGAAAGTCGCGCTATGGGGCTTCCTTGGCAGTCCAGTTGAGACCCCATGCTCCCAACGCAGGGGGCACAGGTTCAGTCCTTGGTCAGGGGACTGAGACCCTGCATGCCACGTGGTGAAGCCAAAAAATAAAAAAAAATACAAGGTCTTCCTATGGCTATGACAGAGTAAAGGCAGACCAACCCAGTGTCCTAACTGTCTGTGTATCAGCACAGCGAGTTATTATATGGTCACGAAAACTGAACTGTGTTTAAAAGGAAACCCTCAGGACGGAGTGTGTCAAACCCTCGATGTGAGTTGTGACTACGACACCGTGCGGTATCCTGGCATCGCAGCTCTGCTGTGAGCTTTGGACCACTCGGAGCCTAAGACCTGTGTTCCCCTGGTGGAGGCTGCTTGCCAGGTGTTGAAGGAGTTTTACAGTCATCCCAGCGCCAAGCAAGACTTTGTCCCGGACTCGAGAGAGGCCGGGCATTTGGTGCTTGACGCCCGGTGGGGGTTGAGGCGGGTTCACCCGCAGTCTTGCTGTCTGCACTTGCTGTTGGCACTGCCTGTCTGTGCGGGGGAGCCCTCGCCACTGGCAAGGGCATGAAATGCACATTCTGGGGAAGGCTGCCATCAGACTTAGCCTTCACAGAGACCTGGTCCCACCAACTCCTTTCAGAAACACAGCTAGGTGCCTTTGCTTGGACACCTCGCTCTCTCAGCCAAAACCCTGCAGGTCCCTCTCTCTGACTTTCTGCATCCGGTGACTGCCTTGATGCCAGGGTCACAGCATCAGTTGCTTCGGAAGTGGAACAGGTGTAGAGTGAGTGAGGCAGGTGAGCGGGACGCAAGGACCACGCTGGGAAGGGCTGGGCTAACCGACACCAGATGCTTCGCTGCGGTGTCAGAGGGCATTAGGGCATGGTGGGGACTGTGGCAAACCAGGGAGCAGAGACTGGCTCAGCGATAGCTGTGACCTCTCAGCCACCTTTAGTGCTTTTAGTAGCAGCTTTATTGAGGTGTAGTTCACATGCCGTATGATTCACCCACTTAAAGTCACAATTCAGTGGGTTTTAGTATATTCATAGATAAATGCAACATCACCAAAGTCAGTTTTAGAGTATTTTATCACCTCAGAAAAAAAGGAAACCATCATAATCACCTCCCTGTTCTTCCACACACATACACACATGAAAGTGTGTTGGATTTTTAAATGTATTTGTGCCTCTGTTGGTGCAGTTGGGCTTTCTCTAGTTGCGGCAAGTGGGGGCTACTCGCCAGTTGCGGTGTGTGAGCGTCTCCTCTCAGGGGATTCTCTTGTTGCAGAGCACAGGCTCGCGGGCCTGTGGGCTCGGGTGCTGCCCTCCTGGCTCTGGAGCGCGGGCTCGCGGGCCTGTGGGCTCGGGCGCTGCCGTCCCGGCTCTGGAGCGCGGGCTCGCGGGCCTGTTGGCTCGGGCGCTGTGCTGTCCTGGCTCTGGAGCGCGGGCTCGCGGGCCTGTGGGCTCAGGCGCTGTGCTGTCCTGGCTCTGGAGCGCGGGCTGCGGGCCTGTTGGCTCGGGCGCTGTGCTGTCCTGGCTCTGGAGCGCGGGCTCGCGGGCCTGTGGGCTCGGGCGCTGCCGTCCCGGCTCTGGAGCGCGGGCTCGCGGGCCTGTTGGCTTGGGCACTGTGCTGTCCTGGCTCTGGAGCGCGGGCTCGCGGGCCTGTTGGCTTGGGCGCTGTGCTGTCCTGGCTCTGGAGCGCGGGCTCGTGGGCCTGTGGGCTCGGGCGCTGCCGTCCCGGCTCTGGAACGCGGGCTCGCGGGCCTGTGGGCTCGGGTGCTGCCCTCCTGGCTCTGGAGCGCGGGCTCGCGGGCCTGTTGGCTTGGGCGCTGTGCTGTCCTGGCTCTGGAGCGCGGGCTCGCGGGCCTGTTGGCTTGGGCGCTGTGCTGTCCTGGCTCTGGAGCGCGGGCTCGCGGGCCTGTGGGCTCGGGCGCTGTGCTGTCCTGGCTCTGGAGCGCGGGCTGCGGGCCTGTTGGCTCGGGCGCTGTGCTGTCCTGGCTCTGGAGCGCGGGCTCGCGGGCCTGTGGGCTCGGGCGCTGCCGTCCCGGCTCTGGAGCGCGGGCTCGCGGGCCTGTTGGCTTGGGCGCTGTGCTGTCCTGGCTCTGGAGCGCGGGCTCGCGGGCCTGTGGGCTCGGGCGCTGTGCTGTCCTGGCTCTGGAGCGCGGGCTGCGGGCCTGTTGGCTCGGGCGCTGTGCTGTCCTGGCTCTAGAGCGCGGGCTCACGGGCCTGTGGGCTCGGGCGCTGTGCTGTCCTGGCTCTGGAGCGCGGGCTCGCGGGCCTGTGGGCTCGGGCGCTGCCGTCCCGGCTCTGGAGCGCGGGCTCGCGGGCCTGTTGGCTTGGGCGCTGTGCTGTCCTGGCTCTGGAGCGCGGGCTGCGGGCCTGTTGGCTCGGGCGCTGTGCTGTCCTGGCTCTAGAGCGCGGGCTCACGGGCCTGTGGGCTCGGGCGCTGTGCTGTCCTGGCTCTGGAGCGCGGGCTCGCGGGCCTGTGGGCTCGGGCGCTGCCGTCCCGGCTCTGGAACGCGGGCTCGCGGGCCTGTGGGCTCGGGTGCTGCCCTCCTGGCTCTGGAGCGCGGGCTCGCGGGCCTGTTGGCTTGGGCGCTGTGCTGTCCTGGCTCTGGAGCGCGGGCTCGCGGGCCTGTTGGCTCGGGCGCTGTGCTGTCCTGGCTCTGGAGCGCGGGCTCGCGGGCCTGTGGGCTCGGGCGCTGTGCTGTCCTGGCTCTGGAGCGCGGGCTGCGGGCCTGTTGGCTCGGGCGCTGTGCTGTCCTGGCTCTGGAGCGCGGGCTCGCGGGCCTGTGGGCTCGGGCGCTGCCGTCCCGGCTCTGGAGCGCGGGCTCGCGGGCCTGTTGGCTTGGGCGCTGTGCTGTCCTGGCTCTGGAGCGCGGGCTCGCGGGCCTGTGGGCTCGGGCGCTGTGCTGTCCCGGCTCTAGAGCGCGGGCTCGCGGGCCCGTGGGCTCGGGCGCTGTGCCGTCCCGGCTCTGGAGCGCGGGCTCGCGGGCCTGTGGCCTCGCGCGCTGTGCCGTCCCGGCTCTGGAGCGCGGGCTCGCGGGCCTGTGGGCTCGGGCGCTGTGCCGTCCCGGCTCTGGAGCGCGGGCTCGTGGGCCTGTGAGCTCGGGCGCTGTGCTGTCCTGGCTCTGGAGCGCGGGCTCGCGGGCCTGTGGGCTCGGGCGCTGTGCTGTCCCAGCTCTGGAGCGCGGGCTCAGTAGTTGTGTACACAGGCTTCATTGCCCCTCGGCATGTGGGATCTTCCCAAGTCAGGGATCGAACCCATGTCCCCTGTATTGGCAGATGGATTCTTAACCACTGACCACCAGGTAAGTCCAGTATATTGGATTTTTTCCAATATTTTTCCTGTGTTTCTTGAAATAATCGTGTGGGTTTTTTTTTTTTTAATTCTGTTGACACGATGTGTTACATTAATTGGCTTTCAGATGTTAAACCAACCTTGCATTCTGGGATAAATGCTATTTGATCATGATATGTAAATTTTTTTATGCATAACTAGATGTAGTTTGCTGGTATTTAATTGAGTGTATGTTCATATTCCCAAGAGATACCGATTTGTGGTTTTCTGTGTGTCTTTGTCTGGTTTGGGTATCAGGATGTCAGCCTCATGGAATGACTTGGAAGTGTTCCCTGTTCTAATTTTTGGAAGAGTCTGTGTAGAATTGGTAACAACTACTCTTGAATATTTGGTAGAATTAACCAGTGAAGCCATCTTGTCACCCGCTTTGCTCATGGGTAGTTTTTTATAGGAATTCAGTCTCTTCACCTTTTATTGGTCTGTTCAGATTGTTTCTTTTTGAGTCAGTTTTGGTAGCATGGGAGTTTCTAGGAGGATCCAGTTTTTTTGTTACATTGTTTTTCTGACACTTTCTTACCTTCCCCCAGTGGGCAACCTTTGTCTTTAGCTCCCTTGTGGAGCTACAGTATAACATACCTGCTTTTCTCAGAGGCAGAATCACCGATGTCAGGGCCTCTTAGGTTTATTGCCGTAAATCAGAGCAAGAAAAAGCTGTCCCTTGGCGCCTGTGGACAAGCGTATGTTGTTATAGGGAGTCTGGGCACAGCTGGATGCCTGAGATCATAGGAAGCTCCCCCGAGGCATTGTTATTCCTTTCTTCCAAGAAAGGATAATCCCCTGGCCATTCCTCTTCCATGTAAATGAGTGGTCACCAGCAGATTCCTCCTACTGAACAGAAAACCTCAAATTGTAAATGATTCTAACTGCCTGAAATATGCCTTGCTTTGCTTTATCTCTGGAGATTAAAAATAACTCCCGTGTTATCTAGAAGAGGGACGTGTCCAATTCAGAAAAATGTGTGTGGTGCCCACAAAACTTGGACTCCTTTTTATTCATACTTAGCCTCCCACCACACGCTTTAAGCAAGTCCTGAGGGCAGCCCAGTGGCCAGAGAGAGACTTTTCCTCCAGGAACAAGAGCCTGTCAGGGTCTGTGATGGACTAGGTAGGCTACTGCTGCAGATACTGAGCTCCCTGTCCAGAGAGGCATTCAAACCGAAGTTGGCATGCTTGTCTGAAAGACTCAAGATGGGATTACAACATCAGAGTCAAATCTTCCCAGAACTACGAACCCCTGCTCATTCCTGCAGTGTCCTATGATGTACGGTCCCTGTTGGCAGCAGACTTTAGGCTTGTCCCTGCCAAGGCAAGCATGATGTCCCCCGTTTATAGATGGTCCCAAAGAGCTCGAGCTAGAGCTACAGCAAGGAGTCCCTTGAACTGCAAGGAGATCAAACCAGTCAATCATAAAGGAAATCAACCCCAAATACTCACTGGAAGTACTGAGGCTGAAGCTGAAGTTCCAATGCTTTGGCCACTTGATGTGAACAGCCGACTCATTAGGAAAAAACCCTGATGCTGGGAAAGAGTGAAGGCAGGAGGAGAAAAGGGCGACAGAGGATGAGATGGTTGGATGTTATCACCGATGCAATGGCCTCGAACTTGGGCAAATCCCGAGGGACGGTGGGGTACAGGGACGCCTGGTGTACTGCAGTCCATGGGGTCACAAGAGTCAGACATGACTTGGTGACTGAACAACAACGACAAAAGAGCTGGAGCAGTTCTCTCTCCCCGTGGTGGGCGTGCCTTCGCCCACGTCTCATCTTCCGTGGCTCTTGCTGAGAGGGGCCCCAGACACGACCCCGTGACCCGTCTAGTACTGTGTGTGGGGCATGCCAGCAGCGCCCATGAGGCAGGCCCCGCCAGGATCGTGTTTGCCCAGAAGGTGTCCCGGAGGGGCCTCGGTCCCCGGGGTCTCTGATGTCCCCAACCTCAGCCCGCGCAGATGCCCCTGCGGCTCCAGATCAGTCGGAGGCCGGTTCCTTTGCCTCCCCCGCCAAGGGCACGAGGGATTTTTCATGGAGTGTTGACAGCCGATGACAGGCCCTCACGGCGTCTCAGAGCACTCCTTCTGAAGGACGTTCACACGCTTCTGCGGCATCTTCCAGCTGCTAATGAGCAGCATTCTCATTTCCCTTAATCACAGAGACAAGGAAGCCCACAACAGTTCTTCGATTAGCTCAGAGGAGATGTTTCTTTCTTTCACTATCGAGGCCCATTCAGAGGCAAGAATGGCTCGTGGGTGCGTGTTGGCTTCTGCGCGTCTGCGGGCGGGGGCCCCTGGGCTGCTGTGGGGTGATGGTGCCCTCACGATGCTCCCAGGACTGCAGAGGCTCCCACGGCCCCAGACCCTCTGCCAGCCGCCTCTGTGTCCTGCTCGGCTGGCTTACGCACGGGAGGGTTTACCTGTTTTAAGCTCAGCGTTTCTTCTCATCACCTCTTTACATTTCACATGCTCCCTCCTTGCAGAAGCCATGTAGTAAGTCCAAGGGCGGCGGGAAGGAGCCTAGCACTCAGGCCTTTCATCAAGGCAGTCACTCTGCAAAGGCGGGTCCCTGTCATGCGCCAGCCCGTTGCAGGCTCGGGGGACTCAGCAGTGAGCAGCCAGCCAGGGCCCCTGCTCTTAGGAGCCAACCCCTCCCCTGGGTCCTGAGCTGCGGGCTGGCCCCCGTGATGCTGCACCTCTGAGGAGATGCCTCGGCGCGGGGCGGGGTGTCCCTCCTTGAGACGGGGTGGGTGGTAGGTGGCAGCTGTGAGGCATGAACTCAGGTGTGTCCCACCTTCTGGAGAAGGGACAGCGGGCAGAGGAAGCAGTCCCCCTCCTGGCCCTGTAGGAAGCCTCGGGGCTGGGCGCGGCCCCTTGGATGGCGTTTCTCATCTCAGTGTGACCCTGGCCACCCCCCACCAGCCTCGAGGGTATCCGTGTCTGCATGGGGCACAATCCTCACGTGCGGCATGGGCCTGGCCGCCACGAGATGTTGCTGGGTACACACAGAAGACAGAAGCTGATGGCACCAGTGACATTCAAAGATATCCACAGGGTCCTTGCTCGTCTACAGATGCTGCTTGTCAAGGGACAAGTGTGATGTGTGATGGGCCTGGGAAGTGTGGAGCTGTGAGGATGCATCCACATCTCGGGGCCTGGCGGGCGTGGGCAGACGTCTGGAACAGAGCTGCCCCTGGCTCCACGGCAGCGTCTTAACGAGCAGTGATGTGTCCTCAGCTCCAGAGAGCTGAGAGGGCTTCCTCTGGGCTCTCGGGGGGCCGTGTCACCCCTGAGGAAGGAGAATTGGTTCTGGGGGTGGATTCGGTCATCTCCCCTCCTGCACACGCATCCCCCCCCGCATGTCCATCAAGTGGCAAGTGGGTCTGGAGCCTGGAGAAGCAGGTGGTGACGCATGCACAGTGGGGGTAGGGACAGGACCACCCGCCAGCCTGCCCCCTCGCTTCCTCCAGAGCAGTTTGTCTCCAGAATGGCAGGCGGGCTCACGTGTGGGGCACCGTTCACCGTCGGGTGAGCTGGCAGGGCTGACGTGTGGGCGGCCTGTGGGCCATGTGGTCCCTCTGTGGGCCGCTGTCCTCTGCCCTGTCACCTGGGAGGTGCCTGGACGTCCAGCTGCTGGGAAATCAAGTGGGAGAGAAACCGATTTCCTCACCATCATTTATATCTTTGTTTAAAATGTGCAAAATGGCTCGTTTGAAGGAGAGACAGAAATGCCTCCCCTGCATGCCCACCCCCGCCTCACGGGTCTCTCCCTGTGGGTGCAGCCAGCCATCATTTCTCTGCCTTCTGAGTGACGTGCCGCTCCTGATGGCAGGGGGATCAGGTCGGAGTCCTCGCGTCTCCCTGGGATGTTTAAGTGGGTTCTCTTTGGGGGACATGTCATCAGCCAGGTGAATCGTCCACCACAGAACTGGAGACCCGTGGGCCTGACCACCTCCTGTCTTCAGTGTATTTGATGTCAGGCTGGCTCGGTTGTTGTTTGGGGTGCCGGCAGGGTTTCCGCGCTGGGATTTTTATTGAGTGACCTGGGTCCTTACGAGAAGCGCCCTGAGCATCCTTCATCTGTGCTTGTGCCCCTGAGCCCCGAGCCCAGCGCTGCAGGCAGTTAGCCCGGCCTTGTCTGGCCCAGCCCCCTGCCCGACAGCTCGCTTCTGGCTGCTGGTGGCGTCCGGCTCTCGGGCGTGGCCAAGCGTGGGAGAAGGCACCCTGAAATGCTGGCTCGGGCACTGTGCTCCCTCCCCAGCGCCGCCCTTTGAGGCTGGGTTCCTACCCTGGGTGGGCCTGTCTCTTTGTATGTCCGCTGAGGGGTGTGGACTAGAGTCAGCGCTTCCCAGATAGATGAGGGGCCCTGGGGTTTGCAGACTTCTTTCTGAATCCTGGTCTCCATGAAGCCAGGATGGAAGCCGAGCTGGTGGAAGCGTAGGTCTCCGAACGTTAACCAGTGCCTCTCAGCAGTGACCCTGGATCTCAGCGCACATACGTTGCGGGGCTAGGCCGGACTCGAGGCTCGGTGCGGAGGGGGCGGTCGGTGCCGCTGCAGCCTTGGGGCAGATACACAGAAGGTCTGCCTGCTGACCAGGGGGTGGCAGAACTGCCTCAGGAGAAGTGAGCAGAGGGGTGAGGGTGCCCACCTGGACCAGGGGGGACTTGGCCAAAGAGGGGCCTCTGGACGGGGCTGAGGCTGAGAGGGAACCAGCAGGTGGACGCGGGGGAAGAGCCCAGATTTCAGGGCTGGGCCGTGCAGCCCCGAGGGGCAGGCAGGGCCAGCTGGCCAGAGGGTGACGGCCATGGGGGAACGCGGTTTGCGGTGACATCAGAGCCCTGGGCAGGGGCCAGATATGCCAGGTTCTCGTAGAACATAAAACTCACTCTGGGTAGCCTTTGAAGGCTTTTAACCTATTCGGTTGTCTCCTGAATTTTTTTCCCCCACATGTTCTTGATATTAAAACTGCAGCTTTGCCAACACGTAACTGTTCGCTATACCCAGTCCTACCCCCAGTGAATATAGGCCACAAACTGCAGGCAGCAAAGCCAGACCAGATGGAGGTGGGAGGCCGTCACAGGCCCACCCACTTGCTCCGCGACATGCCTCCACCTGCCCAGCCCCCAGACATCCACCTAAGGTGCCCATCTAAGCAATGCAACAAATCACTGCAAGTGCATCTGCCACGTGAGAAAGTGGTGATGATGCAGGCTGTCTGGGGAGAGGTTCTTCTGAAAGTGGCATCCCTGGAAGGAAGTAGAGAGAGAAGAAGGCTTAAAGAAGGTCTTTGGCAAGGAAAGCCGAAGACAGGAGCTTGGAATACAGGAGCTCAGATGGGTTCATTCACTCTGAACATTTTACATAGGCTCTGCGTCAAATATGGGGAAAGTGTGGCAAGGTGTGAGTCGCTTGGTCACGTCTGACTCTTTGCCACCCCGTGGCACCTCTGTCCATGGGATTCTTCAGGCAAGAACACTGGAGTGGGTTGCTATTTCCTGCTTCAGGGGATCTTCCTGACCCAGGGATCGAACCTGGGTCTCCCACACTGCAGGCAGATTCTTCACCATCTGAGCCTCCAGGGGAGCCCTCAAACACAGCAGAGGTAGAGATGAATGTGGAGATGGGTGAGATTCGAGGAGCTCACGGTGAAGATGTGGTAGCCTCTGTGGCCCATTCCCAGGTTCTGAGAGTCTGTGAGTCCAGATTAGGATTCCTCAGCGATGGCTTTGTGGGGAAAGCAGCCGCCTCACACCCTACCAGCATCAGAGGAGGCCCCACAGGATGCCTCTCTCTGATGGGAGCTGCAGCAGGTGGCCTAGACAAGCAATATGGGATCCTGGCTGTGGATCCTCTGTCCGCCGAGCTCTGACCACCCCGCCTTGGAGCAGCTTCCATTTCTTCTCTGTAATTTGTGCCATGTTGCAAGAAATACTTTGAGATCTATCCCGGCACTAACATATCACATCCCAAGCCCGTCGCCCGGCTGGCAGTGGGGGCTCACGACGAGGGGTGGGCGGGGCCAGCTTTGGGTTAGGGTTTTCCGAGCAGGCGATAGGCCGCTGCCCTGAGCGGCCATGTGAGCGCACCCCGCCCCCGCCTTGCAGGTGCACCCTCTGCTCCCCGGCACCACCACCGTCATGATCCACGACCTGTGCTTAGCCTTCCCCGCCCCCGCGAAGGCTGACGTCTACGTCTCGGACATCCAGGAGCTGTACATCCGCGTGGTGGACAAGGTCAGTGTCAGCCTCCTCGTACGCTGCCTCTCTTTAGCCACACAGGAGCCGGGAGCACGGTGGGGCTGTGGGGAGGCGCTTTCCTCGCATCTCCCCTCCCCTTGCAGAGCCGTCTCACCTGGCATCCTGGGCTCAGCGCAGGGCTGCCTCTGGGCGAGGGGTCCATTGTCATCTCGGTCGACACTCGCGAAACCTGGCTGTAAGTCCCCCTGGAAGGTGTCCTCACGTCGGCCCTGGCCTGGGGATTCCTGGCCTCTGGCCGCTGCAGGTGACTAGCCAGCCAGCCAGGGCATGAATTTTGTCCCCCGGCTGTACTTTTTGGCTTCTCGGAAATTCAGTGGCAGATGAATAAAGCGCACTAACGCCGAGTGCTTCTACAAAATGAATGCATAATAGACCTAGGCTTTTATTTAACGTGAAGACGGATTTTGTGTAACTCAAATACATGAGGTGGCTGCAGCGGTTTCCAGAGGAATGCTGTCAGGGTCCTGTCTGCCCAAGGGAGAGAAGGGTTAGCTATTAAAGGCAGCATTCACGCAGCTTGGACTTTTTCACAGTCATTATTCTGAGCCTCGGATATGCCCTCTCTGATCTCGTTTCTGCGGGCGAGTTGCTTCTAGGCTTGTGTTCTTTCACTGAGCACTTCTGAGTCATGTTTCCCAAAGTTTTCACCATGTGCAGTATGTGCTGCCAGGTGTGAACTGCGGAGCGATTATTAAATCCCCACTGTATGCCTGTTGCTATGCTAAGCTGTGGATCAGCTCTCTAACTCGGGCCTTAGTTCTTTGTGCTGAAGCAGAGCTGATTTACAATGGTGTTAGCTTCAGATGCACAGCACGGTGATTCCACTTTATATATATGTGTGTACACACACACACACACGCATATGTGCTGTGCTTAGTTGCTTCAGTTCAGGTCAGTTCAGTCGCTCAGTCGTGTCCAGCTCTTTGTGACCCCATGGACTGCAGCACGCCAGGCCTCCCTGTCCATCGCTAACTCCCAGAGTTTACTCAAACTCATGTCCATCGAGTTGGTGATGCCATCCAATCATCTCATCCTCTGTCGTCCCTTTCTCCTCCTGCCTTCAATCTTTCCCAGCATCAGGGTCTTTTCCAATGAGTCAGTTCTTCATATCAGGTGGCCAAAATATTGGCGTTTCAGCTTCAACATCAGTCCTTCCAATGAACACCCAGGACTGATCTCCTTTAGGATGGACTGGTTGGATCTCCTTGCAGTCCAAGGGACTCTCAAGAGTCTTCTCCAACACCACAGTTCAAAAGCATCAATTCTTTGGCGCTCACCTTTCTTTATAGTCCAACTCGCACATCTATACATGACCACTGGAAAAACCATAGCTTTGACTAGATGGACCTTTGTCAGCAGAGTAATGTCTCTGCTTTTTAATATGCTGTCTAGGTTGGTCATAGCTTTTCTTAATCGCTTCAGTTGTGTCCGACTCTTTGTGACCCCATGGACTGTAACCTGCCAGGCTTCTCTGTCCATGGGATTCTCCAGGCAAGAATCCTGGAGTGGGTTGCCGTGCCCTCCTCCAGGGGATCTTCCCAACCCAGGGGTCAAACCCAGGTCTCCCGCGTTGCAGGTGATTCTTCACTGTCTGAGCCACCACGGAAGTCGAAGAACACTGGACTGGGTAGTTTTTCCAGGGGATCTTCCCAGCGCAGGAATCATACCGGGGTCTCCTGCGTTGCAGGCGGATTCTTTACCAGCTGAGCTACCAGGGAAGCCCATGTATATATTTATTTCCGTTATAGGTTATTATAAGATGTTGAACATACTCCTTGTGCTATTGGCAGATCCTTGTTGTTTATCTACTTTATATGTAGTCTTGTGTATCTGTTAATCCCATCTTCATTTATCCCTCTCCCAGATGTTAGTTCTCTCAGAGTGGGTTGTAACCTTTATGCCACATTTATGCTTCAGGCAAAGCATCTGAGTATCCCCCCGAGGCCCCCTAAACACAGAAAGCATGTCAACAGCTTCCGCCTGTTGGTAGGCTGATAGTGTGGAGGTCACCGTGGACCTCTGGGTGTGAGCTTGGCGATGCTTTTGCAGAGAGCTGTAGGGCACCACAGGTGGTGGCTTGGTCATTTGAAGGCCATCCCAGAGTCTCTTCCCCCCATGATGTAGGTGGAGATCGGGAAGACAGTCAAGGCGCATGTCCGCGTGCTGGACTTCCACAAGAAGCCTTTCCTGGCCAAGTACTTGGCCTTCATGGACCTGAAACTCCGGGCAGCCTCCCAGATCGTCACGTTGGTGTGAGTTCTCGTGGGGTCGGGGGTCAGAGGAGGGCACCTGGGGGGCAGCGGCAACGGGTCTGCCTGGGGGAGAGGTCCCAGCCCCTCCCTCTGCTCCAGGGCCCTTGATGAGGCCCCGGACGACTATACCGCCTCCTTCCGCGTCCACGGCGTGGCCATCGGCCAGACCAGCCTCACCGCGACTGTGACCGACAAGGCCGGACAGAGAATCAGCTCAGCCCCACAGCAGGTCGAGGTAGAGCTGTTCCTCCTCACGCCTCGGGGGCCCGGCCCGGCCCCTGGGGCACGTCAGCGCCCTGTGGGGGTGGGGGTGGGGGAGGGGTACGCTGTTTTTGTGGTCGGCTGGGACTTTTGGGGGCAGCCCAGGTAGCCCCGTGGAGGGGACGCGTCAGGCACTCAGCTATGTCTGACTCTGCAGCTAAGCCCTGGGCTCCAGGCCGCCAGGCTGCTCTGTCCATGGGATTCTCCAGGCGGTAATATGGGTGGGAGACCATTCCCTTCTCCAGGCAAGATTACTGGAATGGGCAGCTATCCTTCTCAGGCGGTGATATGGGTGGGAGACCATTCCCTTCTCAGGGGCTCTTCCTGAGCCAGGGATGGAACCTGGGTCTCCCGCATTGCAGGCAGGTTCGTTACCACTCGAGCCAGCCGGGAAGGCCCCCCGTGGAGAGGCCACATGAAACCGCTCTCCAGGGTCCTCTGTTTAAAAGAGGGCCTTTCCTGGTCCCGGGGGTCTGGGAGCCCAGGAGTGAGGGGGCTGGGTTCCCTCGCTCTGTCTGGGATGTAGGGGGCCTGGTGTGGCTCAGAGGAGGGGAGTGACTTGTCACAGACCGGGGAATGGCTGGGGGGTGAGCAGGTGGGTCTGGACTCCAGTGTGGAAGCAGACACTGATGGTTGGGACCCTGGAGGTAGCAGGCTCTTTGCGGGAGCCCCTGCTCACGAGAGCAGCCGTTCTGGGTAAGGGAACTCGGGCCTGGTGTTGGGCTGAGACGGGAGCCCACGGCCGCCAGGGCCAGGAAGTCGTGTCTGAGTTTATCCTTTGGGGGCAGCACTGAGCTGCTTCTGCCACGTCCACTGTGGGCTCAGCCTCGTGGGCTGGGGGCTTCGTGCCGGTGGGTGTGGGTGGTGCTCCAGGATGGCGGTGCGCCCTTCTCCTCCAGGTGAGAAGGCAGTCCCATGTGCCTGTACTCAGGGCCACCCTACTGAGACCATGCCTCACGCACATGTCACCCCTGGGCTGACTGGCACGTCTTCGGGCAAAGCGGGGATTGTGGGGTTGTAGGAGGAGGAGGTGGGGGCTTTGCCCTGCCGCAGAGACAAGGCCTCGTCGTCCTGCCCCCCACCCCGAGTCCTCCTTTCCTCATCTGGAAAATACTGAGGCCTTGGGGATAGAGAGCTATTCTAGATGATTATTCAGTAGAAATCTGGAAACTGTGCAAGAGTCAGCCTTCCAAAGGGGAGCTGGGGAACCTCGAAGGCAGCGGGTTGGAAACCTGGATGTGCGCCAGACTGTCATGGGGACTTGCTGAAACACACAGCAGGACCCACCTCTGATGGGCAGGTCCCAGGCGGGCCGGGGAGTGGGTGTTTCTGCTGACCCCACCAGAGCAGAACACACCCCTGGGAACCTGGGACCCCACGCCCTGCCTGCCTTCAGAGGCAGGAGTCTGTGCACTGTTTCTGCGTCCCTGGAGTTAAAGGGTGACCGCGCCAGGAACGCAATGGCCTCTTTCCCTATTGTGTCTCCACGCCCAGGTCTTCCCCCCATTCAGGCTGATCCCCAGGAAGGTGACGCTGATTATTGGGGCCACGATGCAGGTGGGAGTTCAAGGCTACGCCCTCCCCCCACCACCACCTGGGGCTTCCAAGTGGGCTGTGGGGGGCAGTTCCAGGGTGTGGGCACCCGGGGGGGCTGGCTCATGGGCCCTGCTGCCTACCCCCTCCAGATCACCTCTGAGGGCGGCCCCCAGCCCCAGTCCAACATCCTCTTCTCCATGAGCAACGAGAGCGTGGCGCTGGTGAGCGGCGCTGGGCTGGTGCGGGGCCTCGCGGTGGGCCGTGGTGCCGTGTCGGGGGTCGTGCAGGCCGTGGACGCAGAGACGGGCAAGCTGGTCGTTGTGTCGCAGGTAACGGCGGGGTCGCAGCAGAGGCGCCCTCCACGTCCGCCCTCTAGGGCAGGGGTGCTCCGCTCCCCAAGCGGCTGGCGGGGCGCGGAGCCATGGCAGGGAGGTTCCCCGTCTGCTGGTGTGGGCTCTGCTCCTGAGGACCACCCCTTTCCCAGGGTCTTGCTTCTGCCCTTGGAGCTGGAAGCACCTGCCTGTCAGCTTCCCCCCTCACCAGGCCAGACCTGCTCTTGCACCCCCACGGTCACCCTTCTTCAGACCGAGGGTCCCTGAAAGTGAAGGTTGCTTGGTTATGTTTGACTCTTTGTGACCCCATGAACTATACAGTCCATGGAGTTCTTCAGGCCAGAATACTGGAGTGGGTAGCCTTTCCCTTCTCCAGGGGATCTTCCCGACCCAGGGATTGAACCGGGGTCTCCTGCATTGCAGGCGGACTCTTTACCACCTGAGCTACTGCTCCTTAAGGCTTGGGGCCCCAAGCTCTCCCTCCCTGGGGACGTTCAGTGCAGGGTGGTGGCAGCGGTTGTGACAGCAGACCCTGTTTTCTGTGCGTGCTCTCTGGACCCTCTGCTCTGCCTAGGCGCGGCTCACCCACGGCTGTTCTAGGCCTGAGCTGGTGCTGCGCACGTCAGAGCCCTGCCGCCTTTAGTCCGTTCATTCCCAGCGGGGCTTGCAGATGTTCTCACAGGAGAGCTAGGATGCCGTGGGCACTGACACGCTGCGGGGGTTATGGTGTGTGTTTTTAGAGGTGCACGCTGGCTTGGCTGCCGTAATCCAGGGTAACTGGGCACCCGTAGTATTTCAGACCAGGATTGATATTTGCAGAAGAAAACCTGAGTTATCCACTAGGATCTTTGCTCAGCTAGAGGTTAAACTGTCTCCAGGCCTCCTCGCTGGAGTGGGGGACATTTCCCAGCAGCCTTTCTGGGTCGGCAGAGATGCTGGAGGCCAAGTCAGGGGGACCTCACCCAGGAGGGCCCCTCATCCCCACCTCACACGGTCGCTCTGGCCCCAAGCAGGTGGTGGCGGGCGTCTCGGTCTGCCATTTTCCTCTTTTCCTGGGGTGGGCACTGCTGTGGGCCTCTGGGGAGGACAGAGCAGAGCGTGTTCCCTCCTGGGAAGAGCTCAAGGTGCCTGGTTCTGCCCCATGTCCGTGGCCAGCAGTGACTTGCAGGAGCAGCGACTGGGTGGTCCGGCCATGCTGGAGTCCCAGCTCTAAGAGACCACTTCCTTCCGGGTGATGTGACTGTGGACAGAAACTGGGTCCCTGACAGTGGTCCAGGAGTGCTGCTGACTTCAGAGGATCAGAGCACTCAGCTCTGGGACCCTCTGGAGGGGGTGGGACTGACCTTGACCCAACCCTGAGTTCATTGATTCACGCCTTTCCCAGCAGTTCCAGTGTCTCTCCAAGTATCCTAGTCAGACTGCAAAGTCCTTTTGAATCACAGGCTGGATACTCCAAGTCTATCAATTTTATAAAAACAAGGAAGTACCAGGCGTGTTGAGAGTAAAATTAAGCACCAGGGAGGGCCACTTTGTCCCTCTCTAAAGAAAGGCTTGCAGCCTCAGAAGGGGGAGTTTTGGGCAGGGACCCATTGTTGGCACGTAGCCCCTGAGCCCTGCCAGCCTGAGCCCCGAAGTCCTCTTCCCAGGATCTCGTGGAGGTGGAGGTGCTGCTGCTGCAGGCTGTGAGGATCCGTGCGCCCATCACAAGGATGAGGACGGGGACCCAGGTGAGGCTCCATCACAGGGACGAGGGCGGGGACCCAGGCGAGGCTCCATCACAGGGACGAGGGCGGGGACCCAGGTGAGGCTCCATCACAAGGATGAAGACGGGGACCCAGGTGAGGCTCCATCACAGGGACGAGGGCGGGGACCCAGGTGAGGCTCCATCACAGGGACGAGGACGGGGACCCAGGCGAGGCTCCATCACAGGGACGAGGGCGGGGACCCAGGTGAGGCTCCATCACAGGGACGAGGGCGGGGACCCAGGTGAGGCTCCATCACAAGGATGAAGACAGGGACCCAGGTGAGGTTCCATCACAAGGATGAGGATGGGGACCCAGGTGAGGTTCCTTAAGGGATGAGGACGGAGACCCAGGTGAGGCTCCATCACAAGGATGAAGACGGGGACCCAGGTGAGGTTCCATCACAGGGAAGAGGGCGGGGACCCAGGTGAGGTTCCATCACAGGGATGACGATGGGGACCCAGGTGAGGCTCCGTCACAGGGACGAGGGCGGGGACCCAGGTGAGGTTCCATCACAGGGATGACAATGGGGACCCAGGTGAGGCTCCCATCACAGGGACGAGGGCGGGGACCCAGGCGAGGCGGAACCTCTCCAGCCCCTCCTGCGTGTCCTTGGAGCAGCCTCTGGCAGGAGTCAGGCTCTGGGAGCTGGTTCAGGATGGGCCTGTGGGAGCTGCTCCCAGGACGCCGTTTCCTCTGCTGGGGCGATTCTGCAGGCCCTTGGCCCCCTGGCCTCCGTTTTCCCTCTGGGTCCAGCTTCACTCCCGCCTCTCCTGCTGCGTCTCCCCCGTGCTCCAGCTCCCCAGCTTGTGGCGCCTACCCCTGCAGTCCCGCGGGGGTGACGCCCCTGTCTCCACCACCTGTCGCCTTCCCGCACCTAGAATAGCACCTGGCACCTCCCAGGAGCTGGCGTTTGGATGGCGTGCACCTTTCTCGGTGCTTCGTATGTTGTAGTCCACGTGGCGTGCATCACAGCCCCCCAGGCTGGCTCTGGGGTCACCTCCGCGTCACAGATGAGGAGGTGCTTACGTGGCAGGCTTAGGGCGTCTGCTGACGCCACAGCCAGTGAACGCTGGAGCTGGCGCTGACCCGCAGCCGCACTCAGCTCCACCCCAGCCTCTTGCTGCGTTGCTCCATGTTCGTTTGCCCTTGGATCAGCACTTGGTAAATCCATAGTGTAGGAGGCCGAGTCCACTGCTTGTGAGCAGGGGCCCCCACTAGCCTGAGAGAGATGGGAACAGGGTGAGCTGGCCTGCCGGGGGGCTGCAGGCCCCTCAGAGCTCTAGACGGTCATTCAGGAATGGGGTCCCTCGGCCCTGGAAGGCTGGGCAGGGAGGGGCTGGCACTGTGCTGTGCCGGCCGCCGATTCGGGAGGACTTGATCGAGGCGCCCCTCTTGCCCTCAGGAGACAGGGTGGCAGCGGGCCCTGGGGGACTGTGCAGGCTGTGTCTCAGGGTGTCCGGGGGCTCCGGCCACGGGATGTGGGTGGTCACAGGCCTGGCTTCTCCCCGCAGATGCCCGTCTATGTCACCGGGATCACCAACAACCAGAACCCTTTCTCCTTTGGCAACGCCGTGCCGGGCCTGACCTTCCACTGGTCTGTCACCAAGCGAGACGTCCTGGATGTCCGGGGGCGGCATCACGAGGTGCTCACGCCCCCCCCAGAGACCCCACCCGTGACAGCCTGTCACGCCCGCGTGAGGCTTCCTTGTCTGCGGCCATGCTGTCCCTCCCGGGTCCCTCCCCTCCAGCTCTTCACCTGCCTCCAGCTCCCCTCTTGTGGGTCCCAGGACAGCCTGCAGCCTTTTCATCTTACGCTCCTTCTTGCTGACTAGCCGCACCACCCAGGGGCTTGGAGGCAACCTGCCGGTGGAAGCAGCAAAATGACAGCCTGGTGGGACAGTCATGCAGGTCCCAGGATGCCAGGGGTCCTGGTTGGGGGTCCCCAGTCTATAGCTTCTGACCCTCTTTCTAGGATGTCACCTGCTGCTGGCAGCCCTGGAGTTTTCTCCAGGTGTATCCCAGTACCCTACCCCGTCCCCTTAGGCTCCCTAGGGGGTGCCTGGCCCCTTCCCAGGTCTGTGCTGGAAGGTGCTGGAGAGACACGCTGCCCCATGTGTGAGCTGAGGCCCGTGTGTGGGGAGGCGGACATGCGCAGGTGACCCAGTCAGTGGGCTGTGCAGCGGGCCCGGGTGACCCAGTCAGTGGGCTGTACAGCGGGCACTGGCCCTGTGACTCCAGGCAGTGACCCCAGGGGGGCCTCGGTCACACGGGGCCTGAGTGCGGCTGCTTCCCAGGGTCTCTCCTTGTTTGTGGACAGTGGGGGCCTGGAGAGGGGATCAGACAGGGGATGGGGTCTCTTAGAGGCTGCCTGAAGTTCATATAGTGCAAGACCAATACCCCCCGCCCCCTGACCCTGTGGGACCAGATCCTGTCCCCAGACCATCCCCACGGTACCCGGGCGTGTGACTTCTTCACAAGTACCCCATAACAAAGGCTCTGTGGGCAGCACCCCAAGCCTGGTGCTATCTGGGTGATCCGCCCTGAGCCCTGCAGCCAAGGCTCTGAGAAGTCCTGCGTGAGGACGCTGGCAGGGCCCACCTCTCCTGCGGGCCCTGGGAATGGCATGAATCGCAGTGTGGGGCACCCTACGCGCGTGCTGGGGTTGGCAGGCCCCCACCGGGGCGAGAGGGCAGGGGGGTGACAGCAGGTGGGCGGCTCAGGTGTCTGGGGTGCATGCCCCGTGGGGGAGCCGGGCCCAGGCCCCCTCGGGACGTCCAGTGTCTGTTGCAGGCGTCGCTCCGGCTGCCGTCACAGTACAACTTCGCTATGAACGTGCTCGGCCGGGCGAAGGGCCGCACCGGGCTGAGGGTGGTGGTCAAGGCCCTGGACCCCACCGCTGGGCAGCTGCTGGGCCTCGCCAAAGAGCTCTCTGACGAGATCCAGATCCAGGTGAGGGGCGGGCAGGCAGGGGCTGCTGTCAGCAGGGGAGTGCCAGCCAGCCCAGGGCCCTGCTCCCCTGGGGCGTGTGGGCACACGTGGGGGGGCCGGGGGCCTGCCCTGGGGGGCGCTTGGCCTGCGGGGAGCTATGGTGAGGCTGGTGGGGCCTGAGCTGGGGCTCCGAGGTGCCATGGGAGCCCAGGGCTGGGGCGACCCTGGGCTTCATGGAGGGGAGGCGTTTGGGGCTGGGAGGGCCTGGCAGGGGCGGGGTGGGAGGGGAACTTGGCTCGGCCCGTGCAGAGCCTGGAGGTCTGCAGTAGCTCAATGTGCTTCCAGAGCAGGAGCTGACTCTGAGCTCGGAGTCGGGTGCCTTCTGGGGGGAAGAGGCTGGAAAATCTGAGCCGGGCATGCGTCTAATCGCCTGTATTTCACAAGCGCTGGTGGAGGGCAAGCCGCAGGCAGACGCGCGCCCCCTGCTTCCTGGGCCGGGTCCAGCGAAGCCCATGGGGCAGGTGTTCCCAGGGAACAGGCATCGGAGGGTCCCAGAAGGCCTCGAGGGCTGTGCCCCAGGAGACAGGGTGTGACCCTGTCGTTCGCATATGGGACCCGAGCCTCAGGACGGGGCGGCCTGCTCAGGGCTGCTCGAGGGGGCAGCGGCAGGACGGAGCTGTCCGCCCAGGCCTGGCCCACGGCGCTCTCCTGCTCCCCTGCCCTGAGCGCGTTTAGCCTTAGGGGCCCTCTCCTGTTCATGGGAGACTCGCTTTTGTCCTGACCTTGTGCGTGAGTGCTCAGCCGCGTCTGACTCGTTGTGGTCCTATGGACTGTAGCCCGCCAGGCTTCTCTGTCCGTGGGATTCTCCAGACAAGAACACTGGAGTGGGTTGCCATTTCCTCCTTCAGGGAATCTTCCCGACCCAGGAATCGAACCCAGGTCTCCTGCATCGCAGGCAGATTCTTTATCCCTTGAGCCATCCAGGAAGTCCTTAAATGTAATGTCTGGGTCCCCCTAAATTGCAAAGAAAGACTGAAAGCAACTCCTAGATATCGTGAGGAAAGACACAGGTTCAAACCCCCTCTTCAAGAGGAAACAAGCCATTTCTAGGTCAGGCACACGCCCCACGCAGGGTGAAGAAGCACATTTTGGAGAGATGCCTGTCTGCCCAGCCCCGCTCCCGACTCCTGCCTGCGTGTGCGTACACAGACTCACACACACAGATACAGAGACACACAGACTCACACAGATACAGAGACAGACACACAGATACAGAGACAGACACACAGATACAGAGACACACAGACACACACACACACACGTTCCTCCCAGCTGAAAGCAAAGTGCAGCGAATTCTGACCCCTGTCCTGGAATTAGAGACAGGGCTTCACATCTTCTGAATTCTGTGACCTCAGTCGGGTCATTTAGCAGCTCCGCGTCTTCGTTTCCCTGGCTGACAGCAGGTAACTTTCGAGCGCATTGGAAACTCAGACACTGGATCCAGCCCACAAGAGGTGTTTTATTTGGCTCACTCAGTGCTTCGAAACAGTCTTTTATTTGTTGCCAACGTTGAAAAATAGGAAGATTTTGTCTAAAAGCCCAGTGTGCGGCTCGTCCTGGAGACATGGAGTGACTCCACCAGCCAAACTGGCAGCAGATGAGACAGCCTCTCACTGACGGAGCTGAGCCCCCAGGTCACAGTCCCCAGGCCCCCTCGTCGCCCTGACCCTGCGGCCAGTCACCGTGCTGCTGGCTCTGGCGCCCCTCGGCAGGTCACGGGGCAGGAGAGGAAGGCCCCCCTTGTGCCTTTGGCTCTGTGTCGGGGGGACCACAGGGGTTACCTGCCCGGGAGCGGCAGGAGGGGCCTGTCTGGGTGTGTGTTTGCTGTGTGATGCTCAGCCTGTGAGGCAGCTTCGCTCTGGGAGCCGTCGGCCCGCAGACGGGCTCACCTGGCTCCGGAGCCCAGTGCAGTCCCTGAGGCCCCGTGTAGGGAGCCCTGCCTCTCCATAGTGTCCCCCGCATCCCAGCCTCGGGAGGCAAGCGTGCCAAGGATGCTTCCCTCCAGGCCCTTTTTACTGATGAGGAAGGCGCGCCTGAGTGTGTGGTCAGAGCAGTTGCTGGGAGGCAGGGGATGTAGGCCAGTTTCCTCTTCAGAAATCACCTGTTCAGTTTTAGACATAGACCCTTGGAGCGCCCAGCTGGCCTGATCGTATCAGAAGCCAGAAGGGAGCCCCAGAGTGTGCTCAGCACCCAGGCTCAGGGTCAAGGGTGCCAGCAGCCCGCGGATCCTCAGAGCAAGGGCCTTAGAATGGTGTGGGCGCAGTGGGCTGCGTGCAGAGAGCCATCTGGAGTCCCCGGGGGAGGGCTGCCTTGTGGGCTTGGGGCTGCCGAGGAGGGGCAGGATCAGATCCCCCCAACATCGTCAGGTGTATCAGCCACTGGCCGGAGGTCACCAGGCACGCTGTCCCAGTTCTGTGCAGATTTGACAGGAGCCTGGCAGGCAGAGAGGGTGCCTGGGGGGTGGTTCTGGGAGAGGCCAATGTGGAGAGCATGTCTGGCTGGGGGAAGGAGAATTCAGACAGAGCCTCCCCAGCCTGGCAGCGTCGCTGAGCAGGACCCCGGGCCCCATTGCTGCATGTGCCGCCTTCCACACATACACCCTGAGAGCTTGGGTTGGGGGGTTCGTGCCCTCACCCCGTGAGGAGCCCCAGGGGCCCCCCCAGCATGCCTGCTGCTCCTGCCCAGCGCGCCCTCGGGCTCTTCACGCTCGGCGCTCGCTGCCCACCCCCCCCCCCCAGCTCCTAGCGGCGCTGGCCCCAGGGTCTCTCGGCCCACGGGAGGCACGCCGACCCTGCACGTGGTTCCGGGGATCACAGGAGAACGGAACTCTCCCTCTCCCCCAGGTGTTTGAAAAGCTGCGGCTGCTGAGCCCTGAAATAGAAGCAGAACACGTGCTCATGTCACCAAACTCATTCATCAAGCTCCAGACAAACAGGTACGTGACTCAGCGTGGCTCCCGTCCGACAGCTCGTTTGTCAAAGTCAGCAGGAGACGTGCGTGCCGAGGGCCAGCGCAGTGCCCTGCCGCCCCCCTCCTCCTCCCGGCCACGGAGACGACCCGTGCTCATCTGCGGTATCTCCCCATGGGCCCTTCTCCTCCCCGCGGCCCAGAACTTCTCACGCTTTCTACACAAATCCGCTTCTTCAAAGGGGGGCAAGTGCCAGCTTGGAGGGGTTCAGTCTCTCGAATGCCCCATGTCTTTAAGACTTGCCACTCAGTGTGGTCTGGGAATTGGGACATCAGCTGGCGGTCAGGGCACATGAAAAATGCCGATCTTGGCCCTTCCTGGGTGGTGGAGACTCCTGTGAACGCTGAGCAGCAGGTTCTGAAGGCTGTGGGCACACCAGACCCCTGCCCTGAGTTCTAAGGCACTGCTTTGGGCAGCGATGCCTCGTGTGTGAACTGCAGTTGCAAAGTCGGGAACTGCAAGGACATTGGAAAAACACACCACACACACACACACACGGTGGGCACACAGCCAGAAGTGTCAGCGCCCGGCTCCGAGCTGGACTCTGGATCCAAGACGGATGACAGCGCTGCCCTCGAGGAGTCTGGTGGGGGAGACGGGAGTGTCACATGAGAAGGGTTGTAATGGTCCGAAGCCACAGCCCAAAGGACGCCTTCCGTGCCAGGATTCTGGGGAGGCACGGCCCCCGTGGACATGCAGGAGTCGGGTCTCACAGGATGTGTAGGAGTCCTGCAGGTTAAGAGGAGGGCGTCAGTGGAGGGGACAGGAATTTGAGGCAGAAGCAGTGACATTTGCTTAAGGAGTCGTCTGCGGAGGATTTGAGGGGCTGCGGCACAGAGGGTGCCGGGAGGCGGGCCTGGGAGCTTTTCCTTCCTTCCTTTCTTTGTAGCATCATGAATATGTAAAAGAGCAAAGGAGACTGCATCATTTGCCTTCTCTCTGGTACACATTATCGGTAGTTTTCCGAGCCCGCATTCTTATTATAGCAGTGGCCCGTTTTTATCTGGTTATTGGCCTTTGGAAATAGGACAGGGCCGGGCCCTCACTCCCTTTTCACAGGTGAGCAAGCCGAGGCCGGGAGAGGGGACTGGTGTGTCTGAAGACGCACAGTTGCTGGTGGGCTGTTGGGACGGCCTTTGGGCGCCATCCGGCTCAGAGCCGCGGACTTCTCATGTTGGTGGCGTCCCTTGTCGCAGAGCGCAGGCTCTCGGCTTCAGTAGTTGCGGCTCACAGGCTGTAGGGTGGAAGCTCAGTAGTCGGGGTGCATGAGCTTAGCTGGTCCATGCACGTGGAATCTCCCCAGACCAGGATAGAGCCCATGTCCCCTGCACTGGCAGGGAGATTTTTATCTACTGAGCCACCAGGGGAGCCTTTACATGGAAGGCTGTCTTGACTGCAAGCGTCTGTGCAGCTCATGAGACCCGCAGCTCCCACACGCTTCCTGCAGACTGGCCGCGGAGGGTGCTGCTCTACTGGGAACCCGTGGTTTTCCAAATTAGGTTTCACTGGCCCATCGGTGGCCAGTGAGCCGTAGCAGGCTGTGCGTGGGGACCTGATGCATGGTGACGCCAGAATTGTGCTGTTTTCTCCTGTAAGCAGCAGGACTCCTGAACCCCAGGCCCCTCTCCCTGACCATCTTACTGCTGTTGAAGGCGAACATGAATGTGTTTTGTTTTCCCAAGGGATGGCGCCGCCTCTCTGAGCTACCGCGTCCTGGATGGGCCGGAGAAGGTTCCTGTCGTGCATGTTGACGAGAAGGGCTTCCTGGCATCAGGGTCCGTGATCGGGACGTCCATGGTCGAAGTGACTGCCCAGGAGGCTTTCGGGGCCAACCAGACCGTCATTGTTGCTGTCAAGGTAGGGTCTCATCTGCCTCCGTTTTGGAAATAAAAGCAGAAGCACTGTATTCCCTTTGAGGTGTGCAAGTAAATATACTCACCTTCTAGCCAAGAAATTGTAAGAAACTATTAAAGGTCCTAGGTGAGACTATAAAGAAAGCTGAGCACCAAAGAACTGATGCTTTTAAACTGTGGTGTTGGAGAAGACTCTTGAGAGTCTCTTGGACTGCAAGGAGATCCAACCAGTCAATCTTACAGGAGATCAGCCCTGAATACTCATTGGAAGGACTGATGCTGAAGCTCCAATACTTTGGCCACATGATGCAAAGAGCTGACTCACTGGAAAAGACCCTGGTGCTGGGAGAGATTGAGGGTGGGAGGAGAAGGGGACGCCAGAGGTTGAGGTGGTCGGATGGCATCACCGACTCAATGGACATGAGTTTGAGCAAGCTCTGGGAGATGGTGAAGGGCAGGGAAGCATGGCATGCTGCAGTCCCTGGGGTTGCAGAGAGTCGAACATGACTGAACGACTAACAATAGGTGAAAAGCTGCAGCACCTCCTGGGTATCAGAGCAAAGATGCTTGGAAGTGATTGATGGCAATGAACTCCTTTCATAGCTGAGTAACTGTGGCCCAGAGCCGTCCGAGGTTTGCGGGACTGACACCCCCGTGTCCTGACCAGCCAGCAGACACCTAAGTGCGATGAACTCCGCATGTGCTGTGTCCTGACCTGGAAAGCACGGGGTTACAGACAGCTCTGGGAGGGTGAGGAGGCCCGTCTCACAGGCGAGGCAGTCAAGCTGCCGAGCGCTGCCCGGTGGCTGGGAGTCAGGCCCTGGGCTCCAGGCCGGGTTGGTGCCCTCTGGTGCCCCCCACACCCAGCATGCCCGTGCCCCCTGCCGCTCTGTGCTCCTTAAGACAGGAATGTTCTCCTGGGCGTCCCCTGGATCGGGTCCCAGGGTTTATCCTGAACGGAATTTTCTCTGCACAACTCATCACAACCACAATGTAATCCTCGCTGACAGAGCAAATACATGTCCTCTTGAATATTAATATTTAGACTCTACTTGGGTCCTGGGCCTCTTTCCTTATTAGTATCTTTTTGTTTCAAGATGGGCATCTGACAGGGAACCCTCAACCCTAGTTTCTGAGTGAGCGAAAGTGACTGCCGACTCGTCCCGTGTCACCAGATGGCATTGAGTGCCAGCTGTGCGCCCATCCCTGGAAACGGGGGCTTTGAGGGGCTGGCTTTTTGGTCACGATGGATTTTACTGGAGACAGAGAACCAAGGTGGCTCTCTAAGGAGGTTGGGTTCCCGGACTCCCGAAAGCCATCATCCCTTCCTTTCCCATTCCCCCTTTCCCTGGAGCACCTCTAGGCACCTCTGCAACATGCAGCGTCTCCCAGATACCACCACCGTCCGGCTCCCGAAAGCCATCATCCCTTCCTTTCCCATTCCCCCTTTCCTTGGAGCACCTCTAGGCACCTCTGCAACATGCAGTGTCCCCCAGATACCACCGCCATCCGAGCAGACATTGTTTCTACTTTAAATGCCTGGAGAGCCAGGTCCTCCGATGTGGCCCACCATTCAAGGCCCAGGGGATATTTTTGCAACATGAATAATGATCTAATTTTTCACAGTCATGGACTCTGACTCTTGTGGGTTAGACTTCCTTGGAATGAGGCCAGCCACCGCGGGGAGGAAGAGGGCCAGCATCTGGGCTGGGACACTCTCTCCATGATCCCAAGTCAGTCTAGCCCCCAGGCGTCCTGAGCTGGGAGCAGCTGGAGCGGGCACCCGTCCTCGGGAGGGGGCTCTCTGGGGAGGCGTCCCTGGCGCAGTTGTCACCGCACCTGCTTGCCGTCCCTAGGTGTCCCCTGTTTCCTACCTGAGGATCTCCATGAGCCCTGCCTTGCACACCCGGAACAAGGAGGCTCTGGCGGCCCTGCCCCTGGGAGTGACCGTGACCTTCACCGTCCACTTCCACGACAACTCCGGAGATGTCTTCCACGCTCACAACTCCATCCTCAACTTTGCAACTAACAGGTAGGCAGTGGGCCCCCCGCGTTCCCCACGTGGAGTCACATCTCCATCAGATCCAAATCTGACTCACACAGATGACTGATAACCCTGCAGAGAGGCCAGCGCTGCTGAAGGATGAATTCATCACTCATGGTTCCCAAGAGCAGGCAGTTCGCCCCACTCTCAGGACCCCAGGAGAAGCACTGGGCTCGGCCAGGCAGCAGGACTGAGGGGCCACTGCCGAGAGTCTTGATTATCATGAGACAGAAAGTCATTCGGCAGGGACGTCCCCTAATGCCCCGGAAGCAGAACCCAGAGGTCGGGGCTTGTGGCTGCAGGTTTGTACTAAGATTTCGTGGAAGCTGGAGGTGCAGACAACCCTGGCCCTGCAGTCTGGAGCGCGGCACTCGCTGCTTTCTCTACAAAAGCTGATCGGAGAAGGCGCACGCCTTCCAACGCTCAGGTGTCGGTGAGGACGGAGTCTGGCGGTCACTGACCTCGGCTGTGTGCAGGCCCGCCTACGTGCCGTCTCGCTGACTGCTCAGTGATGCCTGTTTGTAGAGGCCCAGAGAGGTCAAGCCCCTTGTCTCAGGCCACACAGCCAGAAAGTAGGGTTTGAATACCAGGTCCCATGTGCGCTGCAAGGGTAGTTCTTTTCGGCTGACACTTCAGGACTAGAACTGCGGCCTCAGGCCGAATATGAGGGAGAGGGGAGTGGTCTCCAGGAAAGAGAGCCGTGGCCCCAGGCTAGACCTGCCTGCCCATGAGCCCACTGGAGCAGCAGTTTTCAAAGTGTGGTCCCCACACAGCAGCATCACCACTGCCTGGGAGCCCTTAACGCACACTCTCAGGGCACCTGGTGGAACAAGGCCTTCGGGTGATTGTCAGGGCTGAGGACCACCATCCCGGGGATGTAGGCCAAGCCAGCAGGAGCTGAGAGGGGCCTCAGACCTGGAAGGAGGCAGCAGGGCTCCAGAGCCTCCTCTCCAGCCACCGCAGGTCGTGAGCAGCGGCTGGTGACCACTGCAGCCTGCGGGCCCTGGAGCAGACGCATGCCCCGCGCTGAGCACACCCGGGGCCAGGCCCTGGGAGAGTGCGGTCTGGAGTCGGGCCTGGGTCCAGCCCGGCTCTGCCCTCTCTGGGGCCCGTGAGCCTGGACGGACGGGCCACCCCTCCAGGCTGCCGTGTCTACACCTGCCGTGTGGGAAAGTGGCCTCGTCTCCCGGGCCACCAGCTGAGGCTGTGGTCACGAGGGCCTCTGGCCTGCGGGGTGCTCCACGCACACAGCAGGGTGTCTGCAGGTCTGGGGCACAGGCCTCCCCTCGTCCAGAAGTCACACAAGCCCTTCCATGGCTGGGACATCCGTCTCCACGAGAGCGGTCAGGGCTTGGGAGGCGGGCGCGCGGGGAGGGAGGCCATGGAGCAGGGGCCCTGACCCTCCACTTGCTTAGCCCACCCGTCCCTCCCAGCCCGCTGGGGCTATCGTTCCCCGAGTGCCCACGTGTGCCTGCACTCCTGGGCTGACCTTAGCTCTTTCCAGCTGCTGACCAGGTTTGCTGCTCGCATCAAGCCTGTGATATGGGTTCATGGTCAGCCCCACTCAGCAGAGGAGAAAGCAGGTGGGCGGGGACGATGCCCTTGTCCCAGTTACCCAGTTGAGGGCCGCCTGTACCCCCAGAGTGTCCGGGTTCCCTGCTCAGGCGGGCTGGGAGCACAGCTTCATCACCTGCTCTGGGCCTTGGCCTCCCCATGGGACATGGGGGTGCTGAAGCTGGCCATCCTGTCTGGGCCGTGGATGGTGGGGGAGTCCGGTTGGTATGGCCTGCAGGTCCCTCACCTAGAACAGCTGCTCCATGAACCTGAGCCAGGCGGCATCAGGCCGCAGTGGGCAGGCGCAGGGGCCCAGTCGGGGCCCTCCCTGGGAGATGGGGCAGCTCCCAAGACTGAGAGCCACGTCTCCCGTGCTGCAGGGACGAGTTTGTGCAGATCGGGAAGGGCATCGCCAACAACACCTGCGTGATCCGCACGGTCAGCGTGGGCCTGACGCTGCTCAGGGCATGGGACGCAGCGCACGGCGGCCTCTCCGACTTCGTCCCGCTGCCCGTCCTGCAGGCCATCTCCCCCGACCTGTCCGGGGCGGTGGTGGTGGGGGACGTCCTCTGTCTGGCCACGGTTCTGGTCGGCCCAGAAGGTACCAGGGGTTCCGGCTGAGGGAGGCATGTCTTGGGTTGGGAGGTGGGAGGGGCCGCTCTGGCCTCTCTCTGCACTGGGCTGTAATTGGTGCTCGGCCACACCCGCCAGCTCCCCATGTTAGTGGCCGCTTTCATCTGTGTGCTGAGCGGCAGCGTCAGAGACAGTCAGGCATGTCCAGCCCAGATACTTACTGTCTGGCCTTTTACAGGGACCTGGTGGCTCAGGTAAAGAATCAGCCTGCAATGCAAGAGACGTGGGTTCCACCCCTGAGTGGGGAAGATCCCCTGGAGGGGGGCATGGCCGCCCACTCCAGTGTTCTTGCCTGGAGAATCCCATGGACAGAGGAGCCTGGCGGGCTACGGGCCAGGGGGTTGCAAAGGAGTCGATAGGACTTAGCGACTAAGCAACGATAACAGCAAACTCATTTTAAAATGAAGTTACACACTGCCTTTAAAGAAAAGCAAATATTATTTGCCGCAAATAGAAGGTGGTTGTTGAATGTTCTCTTCGTGTTTATTATATAACGAGGTTGGCTTTTCACTAAGGACCGCCGTCTAGTGACAGCTCAGAGTCTGCCACTTGCTTTGTTTGTGTAAAAAGGACTGCATAGCAGGGTGGCTGAGTGGGGGTGACGCTGGGGCTGGCATGCAGCGAGCCAGCCCTGGAGGACCAGCGCCCGGGTCACCCCAGAATGGGATATGACCGTGAGGTTCCCCGGGCGGAGGCATTGGCAGGGGCCCTGGCCACTCAGGGAGCAGGTGGCCATGGCCAGGAGCCAGGGGAGGGGCGGGGGGCTTGGGGCAGCGGGGACGCTGCCCAGCAACCCAGGTGAGACGGGAACAGCTGGAGTGTGAGGCATGGGAAAGACAGTCACGCGCAGTTTCCCTTCCTAGGAGTCGCCGGGACCTGGAGCTCGTCAGCCAGCAGCATCCTCCACGTCGACCCCAAGACGGGCGTGGCCCTGGCCCGGCAGGCAGGCTCCGTGACCGTCTACTATGAGGTCGCCGGGCACCTGAGGACCTACAAAGAGGTGGGCTTTGGGCACATGTGTTTGACCCCCTGGAGGTAGAAAGCTCGGCTTGCCTGCTGCCTGCTTCTCTTCTTCATGTAAGAAGCTCCAGCACCCCGCGAGGCACTTGGCTGGGGGTCATGAGCCTGGTGTGGGGGGCAGGCCCCTCCTCGCAGGCCACCGGCCCCCCCCCTCCGTCCACAGCGGTGGGAGGACAGAGGCGGCCTCTTGGGGGCATCCCTGTGCCCATGCCGCCTCCACGGAGCTCCATGGGCAGGACTGTCCGCGTGGGCATCCCCTGGGGTGTGGCAGTCGTGGGCGGCCCCGTGCAGCGATTTGGCGTCACCGGCAAAGCCAGCCTCCCCCAGTGAGTCACCTTTCGAGTCTTTGTGGAGGCGAACAAGACCGCTCTCTCTACTGCCTATCTCCAGCCGAGAATGAATCAATGAGCGGAGTCTGGCTGCGTTCCACACGTCTCATTTTCCGAACAGCGTGTGCTCCATGGAACCCAGCAGTGTCACCTAATAGCGGGCATGTTCAGCACTGCTGCTGGGGCGAGTTAGTGCAGACAGAGGCACCTTGTGACCAACAGAGCGGTGCCTCCCACCCCGAGAAGCCCAGGAGAGCAGCTGGACAGGCTTGGGAGAGGGGGGCTGGCAGAGCAGGGCTCCACCCGGCAAACGCAGGCAGGCTTTGAGAGCCAGCTCTGGGGCTGGAACTCAGGGTGTGGAGCAGCGGAGGCTGGCTTTGCCATCGGATCACAGTTTAGTTTGGTTCAGTCGCTCAGTCGTTTTTGTGACCCCATGGACTGCAGCGTGCCGGGCCCCCCTGTCCATCACAACATGCGTTCAATTCCAGGTAGCTCCTCGCGTGGTTAGGTGTGCTGGCTCGGGGGCCAGGCTGTGTGGGTTCAAATCCCAGCTGGTCACGGGGAGGCGATGTGACCTCCGGCTCTCTGTGCCTCAGTTTTCTTACTGGCAAAATGGGGCTGACATTGTGTGGAATAGATGAGTCATTCATGGGTGTGAAGCCCTTAGGACGATGCCTGGCGCATAACTTGCGCTTCACGGATGTGAGCTGCTGCAGTTCAGGGTGAGGACGTCGTAACCTAGGCCAGATGCAGCAGGGACTCATCAGAGAATGTTTCAAGGCCAGGAGCGATGCTGATCAGAGGCACGTTTGGGAAGCCTGCCGGGCGCCCGGCCAAGTCCAGGAGTCCGAGGGGGGCAGTGAGGCCCGGCGCTCGCGGGTGAGGCAGGCTGAGGGTTTGGGGACGCCCAGGAGGCGGGGCCGTCGGAGCTCAGCGACCGTTCGGGGGGAGGAAGCTTGGCAGTGAGTGTCCAGGTCTGGCCTGGGCGACAAGAGGGGAGCCGAGAGGGCAGCGGGGAGGCGGGGCGGAGCTGCGGGCGGGTGGTGGGGGTGTGAGTGGCTGTGGCTCCTCCAGGCGGGCTGGGGGCCACGCAGCTGGGCGGCTGTGTCAGGAGCTCCAGGGCCGAACGCTGGAGACGGCAAAGGCTGGGGGCATGGGGGGTCTGCAGCCCTAGAGGCGGCAGGACCACACGGGGCCTCCCAGAGCAGGAGCCAAGTGGAGCCGGGCCTGGGGCCTCTCCCCGGGGCGGGGGTGGAGGCGTTGCAGGAGAGGGGTGAGCGGAGAAAAACCACCCCTCAAAATGCCCGTGTGAGCCTGCAGTTTGGTCAGGCTGGTTCATCTTGAATAAATGGCACTGAAGTAAAATATAGGTCCTTCTCTCTTCGCTGAAAGATTAATTAACCGAGTTGACGTATGGAGAAGCGGTCATAGCTGTCAGGGGAGCCAGAGTCCTCAGTCCACCCCCGAGAGCCACATGATTTCAGGCCTGATGTCGACCCTGCCCCGTGCTGGGAGAGGCAGCTGGCTCCGTGGGGGCATCCAGTCAGGCTGGGGTCTAGCCCAGCTGTGCCCCATGCAAGCAAATCACATGGCCACAGAGCCTCGGTCTTGCCCCCTGGACTGCAGAAAGGGCAGTACCTGATCCCGGGCACTCAACGACCCACCCCGGCTTCCTCCCCAGATCGTGGTCAGCCTGCCTCAGAGAATCGTGGCCCGGTACACCCGCCCCATCCAGAGCAGCTTCCAGGAGGTCTCGGCCTCCAAAGTGATGGTCACCGTGGGAGACCAGAGCTCAAACCTGAGAGGTAGGGAGTGAGGGGCTAGGAGGCCCGGGGGCCCCTGCCGGGCTGGGGAGCAGGCCCTTCAGATGGGATCCCGTGCCCTTCCTGCCCGGACTTGCCTCCCCCACTGTTGGGAGGGCATTTAACCCCCGCTGGCCCACTCCTCCTGGCCCTTTAGAAAGTCGAGTCCTGCAGAGGCAGAGGCAGTGAGGGGCGTTTCTGAAGGCCAGCGCTGAGACTCTGCCTGTCTCTGGGCTTGGCGACGCAGTGTCGGCCCTGGGCACCCAGCTGGAGAAAGCCTCACCCTGCCACCACGCAGCCCTGAAAAGCTGGCCTAGCAGGCCTCGCCACTCATTCTGATTTCCGTAGTTCTCCCAAGTTCTGCGTGGAATAGTCAACCTCCTCCCCTGCCCACGACAGCCCTGGACAGCAGCTGCCAGAAATCAGTGCGTCCACATGCTGTGCTGTGCTTAATCACTCAGCCGTGGCCAGCTCCTTGCAGCCCCGTGGACAGGGTACCAATGGGGAACTGGTGTCCAGGGATGAATTGCCCATTTCCCCTGGTGGCTCAGTGGTAAAGAACCCGCCTGTCAATGCAGGAGACGCAGGACCTGAGTGTTCGATTCCTGGGTCCAAAAGATCCCCTGGAGGAGGGCATGGCAACCCACTCCAGTATTCTTGCCTGAAGAATCCCCTGGACAGAGGAGCCTGGTGGGCTACCATCCGGGGGGTCACAGAGAGTCAGACACACACGCCGGCTGTCAGGAGCAGATGACATGTGTGAGCCGGCCAGACCCAGCTGCCCGGCCTCTGGACGCTCTCTGGACGCAGGCTCTGAACAGGCGCTGACATGGCCCGTTCCCTCAGCCTTCATAAGCTGCGGTCAAGAGGGCTGTGGGCGCGGGTCTGGTTCTCGGAGCAGCTGGCCCCCGCGCGCTCTGCTCTGGCGTCCTGTGCTGGGCTCTGTGGGCGAGCGCCGAGGCAGGGGCCCCGGGGGCCTGGGTGCGGCGCCCCTCACCGCCTCCCCACCACCCCGCCTGCAGGCGAATGCTCCCCCGGCCAGGTGGTAGGCATCGCGGCCCTGCGCCCAGAAGCCCTCCTCTCCTGCCAGCTGCAGTTCAAGCAGGATGTCTTCGACTTCCCAGCTCGAGAGGTCTTCACTGCGGAGCCCGAGTTTGACGCCGCCCTGGGTGAGCCTGCAGGTCTGGGGGGGAACGGGAGCTGCACGGTGGGTATGCCCACGCTGTGTCGGGCTCACGATGCCCGTCTGTCCGGGGCGGGCCCCGTACCTGTCAGGAGCCTCACCTGGGGATGGATGTGGTCATCCTGGCCTCCGGGTCACTGCGACCTCCGGGAGGGTTCACGTTCCTATGCCAGGTGCCGGCCTCCCCCAGCAGCTGCTCCCACCCAGGGAGAAGACTTGCTTCTGAGCTGAGAAACCTGGTCCAAGGCCTTTCCTGCTCTTTGCAACTCAGAGCTTAGAGGCTACTCCCCTCAAGACTTGGGAAGGAAGGGTGGTGCCCTGCGCCGCCGGCATGAGGAGGCTCAGGGTGGGGGGCGCTCCGCGGAGGCAGGGCCCTTATTCACTCTTAGAGTCCCGGGCATCTCTGGAGTGTAGCTGCTCCGCAGACCTTCTGACCGGAGCCGGGGAGCTGGCGGCCGGCCCCACGGGCTGGCCCTGAGAGGAGGGCCGCCCTCACAGGGAGCCGGGACAGCTCAGAACATTCCCCGTGACGAGCCTGCGCGGTGCCCAGCTCGAGCCAGAGCTGCTGTGAGCGTGTCCATGGACGGGCGTGCAGCGCGTTGCTTGGCTCTTTCTGAGGACGCGCGGCCCGGCGTCCCCCGGCGAGTTCGGCTACAGCTGGAGGCCAGGCCCTCTGCCCACTCCGTGTCTGTCCCTCTGGCTGCTGTCTGGGGTCCGGGGCGCACCTGCAGGCACACTGCGTGCAGGACCGAGCTGGGGCTCAGCCCCGAGTAGGCCCTCGGCTGTCCCAGGCCCTGTGGATCGGCCAGCACAGCCCCCCACGGGGTCAATGTCACCCCCACTTGGAGGACACAGAGTCAGCCGGGAAGCCAGCTCGCCTGGGGGCTCCCCGCTGGTGAAGGTGGGGGAGGAGAAAAGGAAGGGGCTGGCCTTGAGGCGCCTGGCTGGCAGGAGCTCGGCGGGGACACCCCATCCCAGTCGCCCTGGTCCCCAGCTCACGCAGCCTCCCCAGGCACCCTCAGCACTGTTCATTCAGCCCAGGTACCTGCTGTGGGCCAGGCGCGGACCCCAAATAGTCCCAGCCAGGCCACCGTAGAACCTCCTACAGCACCCGGGGCATCGGCTATAGAGGAGTCAGCCCCGCTGGGTGTGGGGCCAGCGTTGGGTCGTGATGTCAGTTCAGCCTTCCCTCACCCCCGCTCTGAGCTAGCCTGGTGGGGCCCCAAGATTCAGAGATGGACCTGGTGTTCCTGCCAGGGGAGTCCGTGAACAGAGGACTCCAGGACGCTCGGGAGCTCTGGGCCCAGAAAGAGGGCCCAGGGTGGGCGGGAACACTGAAGAGGGACTTCCCAGGAGGCCCCTGGAGGAGGGCGTGCCCCACCTGGGCTCCCAGGGCTGCATAGGAGTCCAGGGAGAAGGAACGGCGGCAGGGCCTGGGTGGGAGGGCGCCGGGCGGAACGGTGCCCCTGTCCTGGGTGGGGAGGGACCTGGCGGAACGGTGCCCCTGTCCTGGGTGGGGAGGGACCTGGCGGAACGGTGCCCCTGTCTCCACAGGCCCATCCCTGGGGGGCTGGGTGGGGAGGGGACCCACAGGCCCGTCCTTGGGGGCCTGGGTGGGGAGGCACCGGGGGAACGGTGCCCCCTGTTTGGGTGGGGGGAGGGCCGGGCGGAACGGCGCCCCTGTCTCTGCAGGCGGGTCCCTGGGGGCCTGGGTGGGGAGGCACCGGGGGAACGGCGCCCCTGTCTGGGTGGGGAGGGCACTGGGGGAACGGCGTCCCTGTCTCCGCAGGCCGGTACGTCTGCTCGGTGACGATGCTCCGGCTGACGGACCAGCAGCTGAAGCACCTGAGCCTGAAGAGGACGGCGCTGCTGGTCACAGCCTCCCTCCCAGGCAGCCCCTCCCCCGCGGAGCAGGTGGGGGCCGAGGTGCCCTTCAGCCCGGGGCTTTACGCCGACCAGGCCGAAATCCTCCTGAGCAACCACTACACCAGCTCCGAGGTGAAGGTCTTTGGCGCCATGGAGGTTCTGGAGCACCTGGAGGTGAGCGGTGAGCAGGGCGGAGCCAAGGCCTCTGGAAGGACCGGGAGGCGGGGAGGAGCAGCTGCAGCCATGAAGTCCTGGGCTGCCTCTCTCTGCAATGAGGGCCGAGTTAGACACTCTCGACCATTCTTTTTCCCAGAGCAGAGTCACTGTCTCTCGTTGTTCAGTCGCTCAGTCCTGTCCGACTCTGTGACCCCACGGGTTGCAGAGGCCAGGCCTCCCTGTCCATCACCATCTCCCAGAGTTCACCCAGAGTCCTGTGCATTGAGTCGGTGATGCCAGCCAGCCACCTCCTCCTCTGTCTCCCCTTGTCCTCCTGCCTCTGTCTTTCCGGGCATCAGGGTCTTTTCCAGTGCTGTCTGTCAGCCCGTATGATTGTGTGAAGGGTCGTGGCTGCTCCTGTCCACCGCAGCGCGCTCAGCAAACGTGTCACGTGTCTGTGAATGAGCTCAGTGCGGGACACGTGGTGGCCGAGAGCAGGGCGAGAAGCTCTGAGCCCTCACCTGTCGCAGACCCTGCTCACCTGCAGGCAGCAGGTCCCAAGCTCTGGGCCTGGGCCACCCCAGGTGCTGAAAGGGGCTCCGGGGCCCAGCAGGGTGGGAGGAGCCCGGGGCGCCGTGTGCGGGGCTCACCGGGTCTCCTGGGCCTGCTCTCAGCACCCTTGGCTCCAGAGTGAGACAGGGATGAATTGGCTGCTGACGGGAGGGCCTGCTGGGCCCTGGGCAGGGCTGCTGGCATCTGATAGCCCATTGACCAGAGCTCTGGCCGCCCCCTCGGGAAGTAGAGTTTGGGGATCACTCACATAGCTCAGCATTATTTAAAAGGAGCTGTTGATTAGAATTCCGTGATACTGATTTGTTCTTCTAAAAAACACCCAGCCTACACCGCGTGCTCCTCTGACTTCGAGGGTTGCGCGCCTGTCAGCTGGGTGTGCCCAGGTAGCGAGTGTCAGGAAGCAGTAGGGGTGCGCCCCTCAGCCCTGGGGCTCCCCCCGGTGGTGCAGTGGTGAGCCCACCTGCCAATGCAGGATGCAAGAGATGCAGGTTACATCCCTGGGTCCGGAAGATCCCCTGGAGGAGGGCATGGCAACCCACTCAGGTATTCTCACCTGGAGAATCCCATGGACAGAGGAGCCTGGTGGGCTAGGGTCCACGAGGTCGTGGAGAGTTGGACACGACAGAGCCGGCATTCACATCCTCAGCCCTGACGTCTCTCCCAGGTGAAGTCGGGGTCCCCGGCCGTGCTGGCCTTCGTGAAGGAGAAGTCTCTGGGGCTGCCGAGCTTCGTCAGCTACACAGTCGGAATCTCGGATCCCACGGCCGGCAGCCAGGGGCCTCTGTCCACCGCCCTGACCTTCTCCAGCCCCAGCACTAACCAGGCTGTCACCATCCCAGTCACCGTGGCCTTCGTGATGGACCGCCGAGGCCCGGGTGCTCGTGAGTCATGGGACAGGGCCCCGGGGGGAGGGCGGTCAGCGTGGACCAGCCAGGAGCAGCACCCGGGAGTCTGGGGGCGGGAGGCGCAGAAACGCACGTGCCCCGCAGGGTGAGTGAGCGAGTCACGGTCAGGCGGGCTTTGCTCCCCTCGCCCCCCGTCTGCACTCACAGGCATCCGGAGGGGCTCTCGTAAGCTGTGACTAGCTTGTGCCGCTTGAGCACGGCCTCGGCTCTCGGGGCACGCCCTGAGGGGTGGAGGTGAGCCTCCTCCCCGCTCCAGGAGGCAGGGTCCTGGGCTAGGGCAGGTTCAAGCAGCCAGAGACGGCCGGGGGCGGGCGCCGGGCTGACTGGGCTCGGGCCGGCCCCCCCGCCCGCGGGGCGTGGCACAGCTCCCGGGCCCTGCGGCGCCGCGGTGACCGTGTGTCTGGGCCGCAGATGGCGCTGGGCTCCTCCAGCTCGCCCTGGACTCCTACCAGGCCATGTTCTTCACGCTCTTCGCCCTGTTGGCCGGGACGGCGGTCATGATCATAGGTGAGCTGGGCGCGCCGTGTCCCCCGTCCGTCTGCCCCGCCCTCCCCGCCCCCACTCTAATAGCCGCTCGTGTCTCTCTCAGCCTACCACGCGATCTGCGCGCCCCGGGAGCCCCCCGCCACGCCAGCCCTCTCCCCGAGAGCCAGCCCTCAGCACAGCCCCCACTGTGAGTAGCCGCCCTGCGGAGCGGCCCGGAGGTGGGGCAACCCCGGGTCTCATGAGGCCCGGCCCTGGGCGTGAGCTGCAGCTGGGGTGTGAGCCCCAGAGGGCAGGTCCGGGTGCTGGTGGGGGACGTCGGTCCTGGGCAAGGAGAGCTTTCCCCGGGGCAGACTGGGCAAGATGGAGGGGCTGGGGCCAGGGACTCGGTCTGCCGGTATGCCCGAGAGGCTGGTTCCCGCCCGCTGGCGCCGCTTCCTAGGGCTCTCAGCGCGGGGCGGATGGGCTGACTCAGAGGTGAGGGTTTGGGCGGTTCCAAGGAGATAATGCTCAGAGAAGAACTGCATGACTCAACTCCTCTTCATCGTCCAGCTGGCTCTGTGATCCTGAGGCCCCGCGAGTGGCGTCCCCTGGGGCTGTGCAGTGTACCGCCTGCACTGCTGTACATGGCGGCCCTGTGTCTCCCGATTCCCTTTCAAGGGTTCCCTCCTCCACACAGAGACTCCTTGTGGGGGTGTCTGCTGACCTGCACAGGGGCATGGCCTGCCTTCAAGGGGCCTGTGAGCTTCTTGGAAGAGGACGAGCTTTGTGTATAGATGCGTATTGCTGGGTAACAACACCGTCCATGTTTCCTGGACTCTAGAATCACAGCCCTCGTCCAGGCTACCTCTCGGGCCTGTGACGGCCACGGGAGGCCGTGGACCGCTCAGCAGCTCGCTTCCGTGTGTCGACACGGATCACAGCACACGCCTCCCTGCTTCATGGGAGCCGTGGCGGGGGCTTCACCTCGCCTCCCGAGCACTCCAGACCCTTCCACCCACACATGTGGGAGTCTGTTCCTGCAGCCTTCACAGCCCGGAGGGACAGGCCCTTTTCCCCGAGTGCCCCCGGATGGAACGCGGCCTGGGGATCCTGGGTCTCTGCCCAGCAGGCTGTGGGCTCTGCGAGGTCAGGGTGGTGGCCCAGGCATCTGCCTGTGCCGCTTGGGAGGCCCCTGTGGACCCCGCCTACTGGCCCGGGAGCCGGGGCCTCTTCCTGACCACCCTCTGGCGCGGGCCTGCGGGGTCTGGGGGCGTCGAGGTCTCCCTTCCGCTGACCACGTCTCCCTTCCTGCCTAGATTTTGCTGCCTCATCACCAACACCTTTCAACGCACTGCCTCCTGCCCGCCGAACCAGCCCCGCCTCGGGGCTGTGGAGCCCTTCGTACCCGTCCCACTAGGCAGCAGGCCGAGGCCCCGGGCCCCCACCGCCCCCGGGGACAGGCCCGCCGGGTCCAGCCTGGAGCGAGCCCCAGCCCCAGCCAGCATCGCCACCGCCCCCTGCCTGGAACTGGAGTCTAGGCTGTGCCCACGGGCTCAGTCTCACGTGTAGGAATATAAGTTTGTTGTTTGGCAGTGGGGGTGGGGGGGATTGCTTTTATTGTTGTTTTGTTTTACTCAGAGTCTTGCAGAGGTGAAGACTTTGGCTCCCTCTTCGACCTGTCGTCTGGGGCTTCTCGAAGCACACACAGCTTTTATTTTGGAGTCTCCAGAATCATACCATTCTCAGGACTCAGAGCAGGTGGCAGTCTGTAGACCAAGGGTCTGTAGATGCTGTGACAGCCGTGTTCTCAGGGAAAGGACTTTGTCAGTGATGTTTTTATTTGTGTGAGTTCTCTTCTCTCTGGAAACCCGACATTTCCCCTCTGTCCAGCTCCTGCTGGGAAACGACTGGAGCGAATGGACGCGAGGGACCGGGGCCACCCCAGGCCACCTACGAGGAGCCTCAGGGCTGGGCCAAGGCGCCCAGACCAGCCTTGGGGACTCCAGAAACTCCCGGAGCGGGGAGGCTTGCCTCCTGCCCCCACCGAGGGCCGCTGTGAACGGACAGTCTCCTCTGTGGTTCTTTGTTTTCCCCGGCGGTGAACTGGGCCTCCGCCCCGGGGGACAGCCCGTCCTGCCAGTCCCGGCTTCCCTATCAGCTCGGGGGCTTCAGAGTCGTAATCAGGGAGATGTCCTTGACCTGGAGCCAGGCACCGCCCGTGTGCTCAGCCCCCTGCCCGCACACAGACCCGTGCTCTCCGCCCCTCCTCCTGTACCAAGCGCCTCGCGGATCTGAGCCTCCGCCGCCCTGCGGGACGGCCTCCGTCACGGCAGCTCCCCAGAAGGGCCAGGGAGGGGGCGGCTCGGAAAACAGCCTCCCGCCCAGCCCTCATCCATGCAGCGGCTGAGACCTCTAGGACGCGGCCCTACCGTGGCCGGGGAGCCGGGCTGCCCCCAGGAAGCCCAGAGCCCGGCACGCATGGGCCCTGCCGTGGGGCTTCCAGCTTTGACCCTGAGCCGTATACCCGAATCTGCCTCAGTCCTTCGGGGCTGGACCACGCAATTTATTTTTTTAAAGCTAGAGACAGGAAGAATTGTGCCTTGGCGTATTACTTGAGCTCAAACTGACAACTTGGATGTAAACAGGCGCATTTCTACTTGGTTTATTTAATAAAGCTCAGTTTAGTTTCTTAACACGAGTGTGATTATTGCCGGAATCCCATGCGTCCTGCCGGGAGCTGACCCAGGCCTGGTGTTGCTGCTTCCTGTTGTGTGAATATGGGGAGCGGGTCTGTTCCATGGGCCTCTCATCTCTGGCTGCACACCCAGGCCTCCGTCCCCTCTGAGGGATCTCTGTGACCATCACCAACCCCACTGCCCCACCCTGGCTGGTCCAGCCTTGAGGATGAGAACGGACCTGGTTCTAGTATGTCTCCAGAATCTGGTCCACAGGAACACCCAGAAAACATTTAACTGATACGATATGCCCCTGGTGGCTCAGACGGTAAAGAATGCGCCTGCAGTGTGGGAGACCCAGGACAGAGGAGAGTGGAGAATCTCCTCTAGGAACATTGTCCAGAGAATCCCATGGACAGAGGAGGTTGGTGGGTTCCAGTCTATGGGGTTGCAGGGAGTTGGACACAGTTGAGTGACTGACACACAGATATGCACACATGCTCAGCTCAGGACCTGCCTGGCACGCAGCACTCAATACAAGTCAGCACAGCCCTCAGGCACGCCCCCTCAGTGACACAAGACGGCTGCCAGGATCCAGGCATCACATCACGAAACAGCTCCCACCTTACCTGTTGGCCAGAGTCGGCTTCCATGGTCCTTCCCAGCCCCTGGAGGTGAGGGCCACGGATGATTGTTCCTTCGGGGATGAGTGGAGGAATGTCGACCCCCTCAACTTCTCTCAGATGAAAATGGAAAGGTGTCAGGGTCTGCCCAGCCGGTCTCCCCCGATCACTGTGTTTGCCTCTCTTTGCTCACCTCTGCCCTGACAGAGCTGGATGGACACCCAGGCCTATGGCCAAGAGGTCTGGGCTTTCTTCTACCCAGACGTCACCGTCATCTTAAAGCACACGCTACAGGAAACAGCCACACCCGGCTGGAGGCGAGGGCGTCGACAAAACCCGGGGACTTGCTTCCATTTTCTGTTCCTGAACTAACCAAGCAACTTTCACTCCACTCTCTAAAGGGCACCAAAAAATGCTTTTAGCACCATTTCATGCTAAGAATATAGTATTGCATATAGCGTTTTCTTCCCCTCTCTAGAATTCCTAAGCTTGGCAAAAAAATAACTGTTTCTCTGGCTCCTCCTGTTTTTGTGCGTCTGTGTGTGTTGGGGGCAGGGAGGGGGCCATGTTGGACTCGTTACATCTCAAGGTCTGAGACAGCAGCTCTGAGACAGACCACAGCCTGGGCGTCCAGGTGGGTGGGAAAGGCACGGACGGAGTTCAGAGATGGGGTGGCCGAGGTGCAGGCCCCCCATCTGCGGTGGGAGGGGACGCGTGTTCCCCCGTCTGCAGAGCGGCCTTCCTAACATCTGGCTGCCTCCCTACCCGCCAGCCCGCGGTGGCACCAGGTCACAGGTGGTCCGTGGGCTGCAGTTTATCCCAGCCCTCCACCTCCCTGCGCCTCCCCGGAGGCTGAGTGCATGTCCCCCCATTCCCGTGGAGGTCACGTGACTTGCTCTGGCCAGCAGAATGTGGGTGGAAGTGACCACGTGTCCATACAGAGCCTGGGCTTAAAGAGGCCTCACCAGTTTCCCCTCACCCTCTGCGTGCTTCTGCTGTTGACAGAATCGCAAGGGGGCCCAGGGCACCTGAGAGGACCTGAGACAAGCGTCCGCATCCCCGACCGCCTGGCTGTGGGCGTGAGTGACGGCGGTCACAAACGCACCGACGCTGGGACGGTTTGTCAGGCGGCATTGCTGCAGCCGTAGGTGACTGATACAAAGCGAGGTGAATCCCCTTCTGGCTGAAGTCTGTGCGGCAGCTTCTGCCACTTTGTCTCAGGGGCTGGGTGGCCTGGCTGCGGCCTGGGGACCCTCCCCTTCAGCCTGCTCTCTCCTGGGCTCCGCCCGGAGCTTGACGGGGATTCCTGGTGGCCTGGACAGGAGCGGGACGCGCCCTGTGTCAGCGCCCCGGCCAGGCACTCAGGCGCGCGCCGTGGAGGCTATTCACGCAGCACCTTCCTCCCGGAGCTCTGCTTTCCCCCTCCTCGGGCTCCTGTTCTTATCTCGTCACCCCAGTGGGCCAGGTGACCACCAGGAGCAAGAGAGGACGTGGGGACACAGAGCCCCCGGGGCTGGCCGGGACGGCCACGCGAGCCGCCGCTCTCCAGCCTCTTGAACAAAGCGAGTCGTGAGTCTGAATCCAGAGTCGAGGCTCAGGGATGGGCTCCCTCGGCTGGGGCCGCTGCAGACTCACGACGTGAGAGGGGGGTCGAGAGTCGAAGTCGTCAACAGACAGCAATCTCGGGTCGTCCTTCCTCCTCTTGTTCAGCTCCCTTACCGTGCAGACGGGGAAACTGAGGTCCAGGGGCAGGAAGGGACGAGCGGGGGCCACCCCTGAGGAGTACAGCGGGCCCTTCTGGCGGTGGGGATCCCCCTTCCTCCACCCCGGGTAGCGGCCCAGGACATGCGGACTCATCAGTGGACGGCGGGGGCCTTTCCCCCACGACTGACTCTCAGGGAGCCCGTCTGCAGCCCCAATTTTAACAGCACATGGGTGAGCGATCTCAGTTAAACAGAGAGACGGGAAGAAAACAAAGCCAGAACCGTGGGCTTGGGGATTGTCTGTTGTCTTGTTGGGTTTTATGTTGTATGTAAGTAGCGCACATAAACTTGTGTGGGGAGGGCTTCATTAGCAGGCTCGTCAGGTGACCACTTTCACGTGGGGAGCATTTACTGAAAGCAAATACAGACAATTATAAGCACCAGGGAGGTGGCAGCCCGTTTTCCCATTGCTCCGTGGTTCCCGGGTACCAGCGCCCCGGGGTGGCGGTGTGCCCCCCTTGGGACCTTCTCCACAGGGCGGGGCACGTCGGGAGGCCAAGGGCGGCAGCCCAAAGCCTGAGGGACAGGCCCGGCCACCGCAGGGCGCCTGCCTCTGCCGCTCACCAGCAGGCGGCCACGACCTTGAGGACGTCCTGTCACCTCTCGGAGCCGCGGCTTCCCCGTCTGCAAAGTGGCAGTGGTCACACGGCCTCCTCCTCCGTGGGTGCGCTGTGTGGATGGCATCAGCTGCCGCGTCAAACCCCGGCCTGCTGGTGAGCAAGCACGTGGCGCTCAGCAACTGTGGGCTGCGCTTCCTCCGCCTCCCTGGGGGTTAGAGGCAACCGCCCTCGCCCTCTTGGGGGCTGTGAAACCTCCCCCCCCGGCGTCCCTGCTGCCGCTCACCAGGCCAGCGGGACCGAATCGCAGGCAGGTGCCCGCTCACAAACGGCGGGACAGCCCAGCACGTGGCCTCGAGAGTGTGGGGCTGAGGGTGGATGGCCTCGCTCACCGGACTCACCTGCCAGGTGGGGGCAGAGCCCAGCGGGGCCGCTCTCCTGGTTTTCTAGAGACTCCGAAAGTCCAGCTCGGGGGAGGTAAAACCTTCCAGCTTATACATGTTGGTAATAAAATTAAAGTTTCAAAAATACTTTTTTAAGAGAAACCAACTTCTGGGGGCCAAAGAGAGCTCCTCTCAGGCCACCAGCTCTCATTCTCGGAGTTTCTTCACAAACGGTGAACATTCCGGCACGTGCATGCCCCCAGCGCCTTCTTGTGTCCGTGGCAGACACTGCTGATCAATCCCAGAGCTCTCTCTTGCTCGGGCAGGAGTCTGCCTCGGACTGCCTACAGTCCAGCGTTCCAGCATCCACGGCCAGTTAGCTGGTATCAGTGGAAGTGAGGAGTCCCACCTTGCCC